AACAGGACGTAGGTAAGACCCAACCGTGGTCTTAACGCGAGCTATCCTAATTACTCCGTCGGAACCGGGAAAGACCTCCTCGACGATTCCTAACGGCCAGTGGAGAGGCGGCGTATTCTCCTTAGTGAGCACAACTACCGTTCCTACAGCTAAAGGCTCTGTCGCTGTGTTCCATTTTTGCCGAGACTGCAAAGTATGCAAGTATTCCATCCTCCATCGTTTCGTGCCGTGCACGTGTGTTTCACAATAACGAACAGTTTTTTTGTCTTTTGGTGACAAATAATTGAAAAGATAACTTGGCCGAAACAAATAATGATCGACAAACGCATCATTTTTATTAGATAGTTTTACGTCTAGAATAGCTATTTCTCTACATTGAAAATGTTTATGAGGATATGTAATGTAAAATCCGTCCATGTCGATGATGTATCTAATATTTTTTAGATTTTGTGTAATTTTGAACCAAAATGTTAAAAGTATTTACACGTGACTAAAAATATGTTTGTTCCAACAAACTTCACATAACAATGTTTCATTACTTCCCATCATCCCATTTCTTCCTTCTGCTCTTGTCTTCATGTAATTTAAGTAAACAGAATCACATTCACTAATGATCAACTAATGACTGTCATTGTTAAAAAAAAGTATTTTTAACTACTCTAGTATTCGTAAATGCAGTACACACAATATTTAAATATAATTTGTTAACACTAAATCATACACACGTAAGAAAATAACAGAAAGAAAAGTAAGTTTTTCAATAGAATAAATACTTAAAATTGCAATTAACAATTTAATTGGTGCCGGCGGGGATCGAACCCGGGTCGCGTACTGTGAAATTTACAGCTTGCGCTAACCATCTGAGCTACCACTGCTTAATCGTATACACACACACACTATTTAAATATAATTTGTTAACACTAAATCATACACACGTAAGAAAATAACAGAAAGAAAAGTAACTTTGTCAATAGAATAAACACTTACATCCATGGCCTTTGATGCGTTGAAGTAACACAAATGTAGTATTGATAGATCCACTGCGGTCAAACGACTATACACTAGCTCCATGACTGCAGTTGCTTGGTTTTATATAGTACCAGTAAGTAATAATTCTAATCTAAAGAATTTCTACAGTGGAATTGATAGTAACTTTATGCGTCAACAAGCTTATCTCACATTCTGTTGCTTATCTCAGCATTACTTCGTGTTGCGTCTTGTTCAGTGTACTGATGACTCAAATACGTTTTGTATAACACAAAATAATGCAATTTAATATTTAGAAATCACTATAATTGATCATTCCTATGTTAGTCATTAAGTAGATTGTACTGTAATAATCACTAATAGCAGTAATATCATGGATACACTAGATGTACAACAACATCTGAAAAAGATTCACCCCAGTCTAGAAAATAATGTTTATGCTGCTAATAGACTGCCCATGTACACCCACGTACCAACGTATATAATATGCAATTTGGATACAGATGATAAACCAGGGTCACATTGGGTAGCTTTATATATCGATACGAATGACGTCGGTCAATATTTTGATTCATACGGATGAGCACTTGTACGATATCATCTAGAGTTTTTAAAAAGGAATTGTAAAAGATGGAACTGGAATGTTGATAGGATTCAGAACGAGTGGACTTCAGTTTGTGGCGAATATTGCTTAATGTATTTGCTATATAAGTTTCAGGGATGTTCAATGCATAGTTTTACGAGTATATTTACAGGGAACACATTGTACAACGATATTTTAGTGGATGAGATATTTCGCTCCTATTTTATAGATAATAAGTAATAAGATTTTGTATTTCGTAAATAAAAATTGTAACAAAATTAGGTAATGTATTTTATTGATGATTCAGATTAGCGTTGCAGTTAGGAACAAAGCAGTATAATATAATAGCACTGATAATCCGATGCACACGTCGAGGAAGAATAGATAATGACGGTATTCAATGAACAATAGATAAATAGGTAAGAACAATGGTGTGCTAATGACTGTGGAGGCCCTCACCGGATTGTACCGTGCATCCTATGCAAAAACGGACCGCAGATTCGTGATCAGAGCATACTAAAACCTTTTTTTTAGGATCGTGAGTCTCGACGAACATTGTACCACTTCTGACTCAGTGAGCCAGAACTGGTACTACCTATCTACTATAAGGATATAATATAATTAAAATATGTTATGTACAATAAACTGTCAAACATAATATTTCACTACAACATGTTCTTTGATTATGCAAACGCTTTTTGATACATTGACAGAAAACAGTGTTTAAAACATGTTTTTTTTTTTGTGAAAATCGCTTCAGTGCAAACTCACGGTAATAACAACTTAAAAAAAACTGCGTTTGCCAACGTGCGTGAAAAGTATCCTTCCTATGAAAAGTATCCTTCCTATGAGGTAGTATATGGAGCTCTATGTTCAGAAAAGGGGTGTAGTAAGTAGGTTAAGGCCCAAAATGTTTTACTGGACGGTTGGACGACGAAAAAAAAAGCGACAACAACACATCAATGCTTTTGTATCTGGTTTTGTTGCTAGATTAATACAACATTTAAAATATATCGAATTTGATACGAATTCGCTACACTAAAATAAATATCGAATATGTGTAATGATTTCTTAAATTTACGCGAACACTACACATTGAATAAAACTAAATTTACAGATTTTATCGCGTTTATTTCATTACTTTTACTTATTTTTAATTCCCGACTTTTCGGGTGCTTTACAGCACCCATGGTCACGGGGGGGGGACTGAGATGTTTGACGTCCAAATGTCATAGTTAGTCCGGCTACCTTCAGTTTTTGAACATTAATTTTTGGTCCGATTTACGCAAAACGAGCTTATAGTATCATGAAGTCTTGCAGTGGTATGCTTAGGTTTGGGTTTAATTTTGTTAATTATAGGATCCCAAGCTGATCGTAGCACCCAACCATCTTCTCTATTGAAATTTGGATGTTTTTTAATTTCAATAGCCTCGCGTATCATCCTTGGTAGGAATCGGTGTTCTTTTGCGAGAATTTGTGGGACACCAATACCTATCGATTGGAACCTCATGTATGTTCCGCGATTTTTGTAGTTTTCGAGATATAAATTTTTTTGCTTTATTTTCAGTTCTTTTTTACCTTTGGACGGTTTTAGCTATAACTTTTTCTGTGAAGTTATTCTTAGATATTTTTTTTGTCAGTATTATGGCTATCATGTATGCTCGTCTGTAAAAACATTACTGAGTACTAGTAGCTCAGATTTAGTTTACAAAATTAAAATTTCTGTTTGAGAGAAATTTTTATTTGACTTCAACTAAAAAAAAAACTTAACCCTGAATGAATAACTTCCTGATAATTTCAAAAACTTTACAGGTTCTTTAGTACTCAAAATAACCCAAAAAAGTTGGTAATTTATAGGATTAGCATTATTAGATATAGCATTTTTGTGCGAAAACGGAGTTTAAAAATTCATACAGTCGAAAATAGTGAAATTTATTTCATGCATTTGAAATTACTTTTCTCACATTTTCCGATTAATATGGTGAATAATTATGAATGTTTGATAAAAAGATTTAACATAAAACAAAAAAAATCATACCTCAACATACATGGGGTTCCAATCGATAGGTATTGGTATCCCTAGAACACAGACCTTCACTGGTATAGGTTTCCTGGGACAACCTATACATCGATATTTTTTACCCAAGCAGCGAACTTCTGATAGGCTGTAAGGGTAATGATGTCGTCAAAAGACTTATATGTATACTATTAGATAGTCATTCAGAACAAAAACTGTATTACATCTGTGGAACGCACGGGCGTGGGGGTATAGCTGGTACGGTAATTGTGACACGTAGTTGTATTTTTATTTACGACAGGTGTTGTATTTAGGCAAATACGAAAAAAAGTTAAATATTTATCTGAAATATACTTTACACGTTGACAAAGGACTTTGTTGTCTTACTCGTAGCAAGAAGTCGTTTTGCTTGTAGACTCGCAGTATACTAAAGAAGTTACGGAAAATTGACTGTAACTTATTGCACAATGTATTATTACCGTGGTGCCGGCCTTTTCTAGTATATGTAGACAATATTAAATGTGGGGTTACATGAAAAGGTTTCAAGAATAGAATAGAATCCTTTTAATTCAATATAGTACTACGACCACTGGTTCGGAGAAAACCTCTGCTCTGGGAAGAACCAGCAAGAAACCCAGCGGGACATTTCTTTTAAATAGAATACATCACTTTATACAACTATGAAACACACAGATCACAGCTAATCAACTATAAATTGTACTGAGACTAATTTAGTAACTGAGAATAATAATTAATTCGTTCCACGAGTTAATTATCCGATGAGTCGAGGATGAGCTAGTAGCGGAATACAACAAGTGCACAGCGCTGTGCCAGAGCCAAGACGGCCGCTCCGTCCGTTTTATACAAGCAAAACAAGTAGGCACACGAGCGCCACTGCAAGTGCAACGCTTAGGTGTGCGGTGTACGTATTGTTTACAAGAATTCTGGTTAGCCAGAGAGACACCGCCGCAAGTTCAACGGAGCAGGCGCCGTCTATACTTGTTTTATAGAATAAGGGTGACAAACGAGCACACAGTCCACCTGATGGTAAGTGGACGCTGGGACCCATAGACATCTACATTTATCTTCAATTAAGAATCAAAATGCAGATGCGTTGCTAGCCCTGAGGGCTGAGATGGAATGCCTTGTTTCCAGTAAAAAGGGTCTCCGGTACTCTACACTCACCATACGAAACACAGCGCATTAAGCTGCTATTTTACCCTGGTTTTATGTGAGAGCGTGATCCTACCTCGGTCAAGCCGATCCATTCATGCTGCAACCACAATATAGCTGCAGCATGGCTCTACCACGTATAAATTATGAAGTAGTGTAAGAAGTGTTTGTTGTTGCAGGTGCCTCATAGCGTACATCCTGGAGGATCCCAGCGAGCGGGTACGGCTCGACATCTCACACATGCCTGCGTTGTGGCCAGCGCTGGTGGTGCGCGCGCCGGTGCCGTGGCACGCGGCCGCCGTGCGCGCAAGCCACGCACTCAGCCATCGCCACTGCCACGCCAACCCCGTGTTGCTGCAACTGCGTCGCTTGTGGCACGACAGGTGAGCTAGTCCGCGCCACTTGTGGCACGACAAATAAGCCAACTCGCGCCACTTGTGGCACGACAAATAAGCCAACTCGCGCCACTTGTGTTATGACAAGTGAGCGAGCGGGGAACTTGTGTCGCTGCAGCTAAGTTCACTAGAAGTTTGCGGCACCTAAAAGGGCCTTGCTGAACTTTGATTTTCTGTGAATTTAGACCGAAACGGTACATTACATTCTGAAACAACCTCAAAAATTCGAGTTTTTCTAATTTTCGAAAAAGTTTTTCTGGAAATTACTTCGACACTATTATTATAATCAATTCTATGATCTTATCGGCTCATCTACTCAAAAAACGACGTCGATTGTTGCTTATGAGAGATATCGTTGTCGAAAGAAATCTCGAAAGTGTTTTTTTTTTTCAAATTAACTGGAAAATCTATCAATTCTATCCTGAACCTTACAGGTGAAATTTGAGGCACTTTGCATTTGAAATCAGCTGAAAGTTGCAAGGATTGCCTGTAGAGTTCTATAGGGTATTTCTTTAATAGGATAATGGTGGAAACTAAACTTAAAATTAACTAATCTATAATAGATAGCAGACTCGATACCACAACTTCTTTGTAATCATTTTTAAATTTAAATTGTCTAGATTAACTTACATTAAAATAAAGGGCGTAATTAAAGACATGTTCTTACACCATGAAAATAATATACGCATCGAAAGTTAATATTTAAAATGTGAAGGGTATGGTATGGGTATCTATGGGGTCGTTAATTTTGTAATGTCTTCGGGCACGAACTTCGGTCACGGCGCGGCAACCAGGGTCAACGGAGGCTAGCCATCTGCACGGAACTAGATTATATTACACGAGTGGAAGCGCAATCACAGGTGCACTCTCTATTCCCTCACTCTCATAGTCTGAAGGGTCGGCACGATCGGAGAGTGATCAGGCGTACAAATAACATCTTTAGATGCGTCCTAAGGTCAAATACTCAAATGATCTTCAATTTTAAATTGTCGTTAAGTCTCGTGGTGCCAAAGTCACTTTGACTTAAAGTAATAGAGACAGCACGTGACTTAACGGCATCTTAAAATTGAGTAGCGTTTAAGTATTTGGGCATCAGTGTTGCTACTGAAATGTTCTTGATGTAGAAATGTAATAACTGATTTTGGCCCGACTCTGAATTCGAACCCAAGACCACATGATCATACAACACTGGACCAACGAGGCAGCCCTGGTAGTTAGCTCTGACTTCAGCAAGTCAGTCTCTTTATGCTGCAACTTTGAATTTAAAGCTATTAAAATCATATAATATATTTTGGTGTGATACTTTTTAGATATGAAAACATGTACATATGTGACATGCGGAAGATGCAGGAAGACCTTCCGTTCCCCCAGTACCCGTCAGAGTTCACCGAACGCCTGCAGAAACTTTGCGCAGCGACTAAAGCCGAACTGCTGGATAACTGGCTGATCGACGTCGCCGATACCATGGTGAAAATGAGGAAGTACTGGTCGATATACGTGGGAAAGCAGAAGAACGCTTCTACGTTTGAAGTGGAGAAGTTCTTTAGGTAGCGTCAAAGCTAAATGTATAATAGTTTTTGTTACCGTGTAGTTACAGTGTAAGAATACCCATTACCCCATATCGTCCCGAGGGTGTCGTAAGAGGCGACAGAGGGAAACTAATCAGGACATGGGCAGTAGCATCTTCCTGATAAAAATTGAAAATAAATTATTGAATCGGGCGTTACTTTGCGAAGCGATTTAAATGATACTTTTTAAATTAAATCGGTCATACTTTGAGGGTGATCCCGTGGTAGTTTGTGGTGGTAATAGATGAAGTTTTTAATGTTACTATTTAGACAATATCCGACCTTCATTCGTTGTGAATATTTCTCGGTTCACTCAAAAGGGTATAAAAAAATTTGTGACTTCAAAGAACTAAAAAGCATAAAATAACTATCACATAACACACACAGACTGCAGACTTCCCGGAGCGTCGATTCTTCACATCAACCCGCGTAAAAGAACATATAGCTGATGTGAAGAATCGACGCTCCGGGAAGTCTGCAGTCTGTGAACACGTACAGGATCGCCCCCGTCACTACATTTTGAGAGACCACAAATCCTCGCTAAAGAACACCGATTGCTTCCAAGGATGATTCGCGAGGTTATTGAAATCAAAAAACATCCTAATTTCAATAGAGAAGATGGCTGGGTGCTACCATCTGCTTGGGATCCTATAATAAATAAAATTAAATCCCAACCCAAGCATACAACTGCAAGACTTCATGATACCATAAGTTCATACTGTGTAGATCGAAAACAAAAGTAAAATTTTAATCTATGGTAACCGCGGTTAACTATGACATCTGGACGTTGAACATCTCAGTCCTTCCCGTGACCATGGGTGCTGTAAAGCTCTCGAAACGTCGGGTATTTAAAAAGTTAAATATACGCGATAAATTACGTAAAAATAGTATTATTTCAATATCACATACTAGCTTCTGAAGTCGGGGCTTGAATACTTCTGTACCTAAACTATGTCTTTGCACCGATTTCCGAAGGCAACAAGTGATGAAACTAAAAGTTTACAAACGCCGACATCAAACAAAAAAATATGTAAAACATTATTTTTTACCCCACAGTTGTATTCACGGTTTGATGTCCAGACAAGTTCGTGATCTAGTGGAACGCAGCGTGAACCACTTCGCCGAGTATTTTGCGAATTATTGGGTGAGTTTTTTTTAATGAATAGAAATTAAAGTCAAATTAACTTGAATAAACAATAGCATGCCGTGGTAGCTATGGTCAAATTTTACTGTACACACTGCCGGCATCAATAAAGTTTTTGCTAAAGCCAGCTGCTGCAATCGGTTCCATGCATGACAAAGGTCAGATAGCTAGAAAAACACACAAGCGACAGTACACTTTTTTTAATTGATCATATTTACGTGGTAGATCCATGCTACAGCTAAATTATGGTTACAGCTCGAGTGAGTCGACTCGACCGGGGAAGGACCACACTCTCAAAGAATATCAGCGTAAAAACGTTTTTACGTGGTATAGCCACGCTGCAGATTTATTAAGGTTGTAGCACGAATGGGTTGTCTCGACCGGGAAAGAATCACGTTTTTATAGAATATCAGCGTAAAATGCCAGCTCAATGCTTTTGTGTATCGTATGGTGAGTGTAGAATATATTTTTACTGATAACGAGGCATTCCATCTTAGTATTCAGGCAGGGATGGATGATAACGCATCTACATTTTGATGCTTAATTGAGTGTAGATCCCACACCCCACAGCATCCACTTACCATCAGGTGGATTGTGTGCTCGTTTAACACCCCTGTTCTATAAAAAATTATATTTTGGGATTACTTGTTATTTTTAGAAGTCTTCATAGAATAAATTGTGCTTTGGCTTCTCATATACTACATTATGCTGTTCATACTTGAAAACAAACTACAAAAAGTGGCTAAGTAAATGTCGGGCCACGCACAATACGTGGGTTTTCTTGATAATGAACATTAAGCTTTGGTCTCTTGATCGTAACGCACAACGCTGCAGTATGTGGCTTGCGGTGCCGGACACATAATCGTATGAAAAACGTGTAGAATGGTCTCGTTCCGCGCAGTATGCGTCAGCGGCGAAGGGCAAGCGCGGTGAAGTGGGGAGCGGGTACTCCGCACTGCGCGCCGTCGTTCTCCTTGCGATGCTGCGGTGTGCGTCACGAGTTGACAATGGATTTGTTTGAACATAATTTAATTTAATATAACGCTGCAAAATCAACCGACCACTTCTGCGCAGAAATGCTAAGCGCTCGTCATGACGCTTTGTGTTGTCGTCTGTGAAGGACTACTATTATTCATCCCTGCAGGTTTCGGGCCTCGGGGCATACCCCATTACCCGGACAATCATCACAGCCCATTTCTATGGGCCGGTCCTGGGAGACGTACAGGACGGCATTATTGGTTATCTTCTTTGGCGTATTGCGCGCCACTAGGTAGGTGCTTCCGGAGGGTCTGCAGTCTTGAAGCCCCACGTAGTCCCGATGAGAACGGGTCTCGCCAATCCTGCCGACAGGTGTGCGCTCCTGATAGCAGCACTCCGGGCCTCAGGTGCTCCTCCCTAGCTCTAGGTGATGGCCTGGCTGGTTCCTAGGCATACTTGGCGTATCTCCACCTCTGGGAAGGGATCTGCCGAAGGGCCAGTGACTTCCAGGTCCGCCAGGAGACGGATCTCGATGCGGAGCCGATGTCACCAACAGGCGCACGCTCTCCTGATAGCAGCACGCCGGGCCTCCAAAGCTCGCTTCCCAGCATATTAGATGACACGCAGTGTAGAGTATGTGTCGTCCCGGGAGGGGTCAGGGGCGTCCTCGAAGCTCGACAAGCCGAGTTCGCCCCACGGCGCGTACACCCACTGCGTAGCGACGGGCTGTACTTCTCCCTCCCTGGTGGAAGCCGACGACCGGCGGACGTTACCGGCAGCAGGCGCGGTTCGGACTCCGGACGCGACTAGTTATGACGCTGCGTTTGACCCGCATACCGCAGCGTTGTGCGTTACGATCCAGAGAGCAAAGCTTAAGATTGATAATGAGATATAAGTGAGTTCGTGGGTTGACCGCTATAACGACTAAAAGTGGGTCCAAATAGGAAGATAGTTACTGAAGTACTTATTTTCAAAGAACACTTATAGGGAGTGGTATTCTAAAAGATTAAAAAAAATCGAATTTGAAAATAATACAATTTACATCAAATCATTTACATGCCAAGTCCGTACAAAGATGGTCATAGTTGACTATCTATCTATATATTCCCGGCAATGCAACTCTAAGACATATATAATCATAACAAACCTTCCCGTAAAACACCACTGCCCAAAATTACCTTGAGGGTCGCCCACGTAAGCCAAGAGTATGACAAATGAAACTGTATGAGGTTATATGATTGTACGAATACTTTTAATGAGGCCTAAAAATAACTAACCAACCAACTAAAAAATAAGCGAAAGTCGTAAGTAAGAAAGATTCTCCCTGTCTATTACGCAAGTGAAAAAGTAAAGCTATGGTAGTAATGCATATAAATAGTTTTCTTCATAACATGTTTATTTCTTACAGCTTACAATAACACTACAAAGTTATAATGCAGTTTTAGGTCATTTTCTATGAGGTTGTAACGAAATTTTTACTAATCTAAGGGTATTGTATAAATTTGTCGACTATTACTCGTTAACTTGTTAATTCTACTTAGCTGTGATAGTTTTTCCTTTAACTTCATTATATATACTACTATCTCTTATAATTTTTACATTTAAAAAACTGCGGCTTAGTTGGTAGAGGGGGAGGGGGGCACATGACTCTAATGAAAAATAACACTATAAAGCTAAATATTTCGCAAACAGACCCCAGCATCAAAAATATGTACACTATGGAATAAACGGGTAAAAAAAATCATCCTACATTTACCTGTATGGTAGATACCCAAAATAAAAGTGTTTTTAAGATTTTATTTCACAGTTTTGTAGGCGTGATTAATATCTCTCTCTATCTCTCTCTCTCTCTAGTCTCTGAGTAAAATCGATGGGCAGACGGACTTGGCGAAACTATAAGGGTTCCTTGTTGTGTGACTACGGAATCCTAAAAAGTGTCTCCGGATCACAATTTTGGCCAGTGGGTTGGATTATTTCTGAATAACACGATTCAAATAGAAATTCTGACTTACCACGTGCACAGCGGTAAAAGGGAAACAGTAAAACTGCAGGATAAAAAATAAAATTATTTCGAGAACATGTGAATATGCCAACACCAATTGGACTGACTAATTTCTCAGTATCTCTCTTAGAATTGTAACGAGGCCTGTGCCTAGTGAGACATGGTAGGAAAGGGTGTAAATTTACTTTAAAATAGTTTCTATAAAGTATAATTGAGTTGTCATATCTATAGCTCGAAATATTTCTCCTAGGAAGGCAACGACTATGGAGAAGAATATCAGGACTATACGTTTATCAAGACGCCTTTACTCCGTATTAAGGTGGTCGGACATCCAGGAACCACTAACCTAACGTTCGAGCCGAGCCTCGAACAGATGAGTGTGTTGATTGTTAAATGGTTCTACACCATCATTAACGTTAATATCCAATTGCCGAGCGTGGATAGTATTATGTATCCCGGTAAGTAAAAAAAATATTTTACCATTTATTAATACCGTCAGTACTTAACAGTTTCCCAGTTCGCAAAACAAACACAATAGTTAAACAATCAAAATATTCATATATTATGATTCATAGGACAGGGAAAGCGTTAACACTAGGATTGTAGAGAACCGGAAACTCTTTTCACTGGAAACGAGGTATTACAGAAAGCCTCATAGAGTGCATCTGCATTTTGATTTGTGATCGTGGATAAATGTAGATATCTATGGGTCACAACATCCACTTACTACGCGCTCGTTTGTCAACCTTATCCTATAACAGAGTTTCCCAAACTGTTTTGTGTCGTAGACCCCTTGCCATGTTTTTCCGTATTGGGTAGACCCCCTACTTACCTGATATTGATTTCCTGTAAATTTTTAACTGTAGTGAAGTTTATTGGGATTATATGTAGGAATATATTGGGATTGACCATAAACAGTGTAATATTGTGTAATCCACCAGGTTAGTCAAAAACCTCAGTTCCCAGGGTATTTTAAAGTGACAACTTGATATTTGGAGCTATCCGTATGAACTTTAGAAGGAAATAAACTACCTTTTGTCTGTATATGTATCTTTGAATTTTCATTTACTAAACATCCAACCACAGGCGCCCTGGGATACTTTTATTTTGATACTCGAGTCTTTTAACTCTCCGATGACCGTAGCCGGTGAGTAACGCCCTAAAAAGTGTTATAGTCTGTGATAAATTGGGGAACTGAGAAAATTTGCCCCGTCCAATATTTTGCTTCATTAGTTTAACTCTGGCAAGAACGCTGATAAGATGGACTTTCTTTTAATCAAATTAAAACTGTCGCCTTGTAATTGCAAATTAACCATATTAAATTTTGTAAACAAATCTGTTAAATAGTCGATGTCTGTTTTCCTCTTCATTAAATTTTATTTTAAAATTTTGTCTTTAGTATCCAGAAATTCTAAAATAGTCTCAAAAAGTGCAAAAAATCTTGTCAAACATAAGCCTTTCGACAGCCAGCGTACTTCAGTGTGAAGGAGTAATTGATGAAAGTGTTCGTCATTTTCTTCACACAACTGCGCAAATAACTGCGTATTCAACGCGTTGCTTCGGATTTGGTTTACTGCATCAATGACTAAATGAAGTGATTCATGCAATCTAACACTCCAATTTTTAGCAACTAAATGTTGTCGATGGATGACGCAATGTATTGCTAACACCCCTGACACATTCTGTTTTAAATAGCTTATAAATCCACGATAACGTCCAACCATGGCAGGTGCTCCATCTGTGGCTACTGATATTATATTTGATAAAGGAATTGCCTTTTCAATAAAGTAAAACATGAAATATTGATTCACCTTTAGTGTCGGTTATTAAAGTTCTTGCGAAGAGCAGTTCTTCGTAGATTTCTTGATTCATAATAAAACCAACATATGCCAATAATAATGCTGCATTATCAGGTAAAATGACTCGTCCAGTTGTATAGAGAAATGGGTCGTTTGCAAATAATTACATAAGAAGCTTTCAATATCCGAACTCATTTCATCAATACGTCTTTCAACAGTATTGTTGCTTAAGGGAATTCTTTTAATGATATCAGATGCAGGTTTGTGTAAAACAGTTTTTAAAACCTCTTCAACGGCTGGCAAAATTAACTTCTCTCCGATAGTATGCGGTTTCTGGATTTTGCTATAAGTAACGAGATATTGTAAGACGCCCGCAAACCGTCATCATTTCTTTGTGACGTCGAAGTGAACATTCTGTCCAGTGTAAATCTCTTCTGAAGTTTATCTTTGAGTGTTTGAAAGTATTTCAAATCTTTCTCTGTTTTATCAGGGTGGCATCTTCTCAGATGTTCTTGCAGTTTAGATGGTTTCATAGCGTCATTGCCCAAAACTTTGTTGCATAAAAGGCACATAGGCAATTGTTTGTCCGGCAATGATGGAATGAAGCCAAATTTCAAATAATCGACACTGTACTGTCTACATTTCTCTTTAGATTCGGACATGGCATCAGTCAGCTGTGGGCAAAATTAAATTATTTAAATAAACAAAAAATCCAGCAGCTGTATATTATAAATATTTTTTGATTTTTCCGAAAACATTCCATAATTCGAACATCTTCTTGCAACAATTAGCTCGAATTACGGAGGTTGCACTGTAATTATAATACCTATTGCTAAAACTTTCAAAAAGAAACTATTGAGGAGTACTCGTGTAATTTTGCATGATTGAATATTAAACTACTAATAACTAAAGTCATGATTGGCGTAATTTATCTATCTTTGCTACCTACGAGTACAAAACTAAAATTTAATAAAAAATAATGTACTTACTTTTCTCGAGCACTGTCAAACAAAATAACACTGACTAACTATAATTTGTGTGATATACTATCTGTTTATATTTTTTTAAATATTTTCTTAGCACTTTCCTTTTCAAGATTCAGGAAACGAATAAACGTATTTGTCCCACATTCGTATTTATAGAGTAACGAATTGAACAAGTCAGTGCAAGGTAGCGAAGCTCTGAGACTGCGACTCTCAGGTTTTTACAAGTTCAAAATATATTGCGACCACAAAGCGAATACCAACATCCTACAACTTACACAATTTTATAAACATATATAATAATTTTTTTACTTCATAGGTACTTTTATAAATAATGTATATGTTTTGATATTATAAGATAGTATGATGTAAGTAAATAGGTACTATCAGTGTATGTGTTGAGATCCACTATCGTGGACCCCCATTTCATTTCATGAACCCCCAAATTTTTTTGGGGTCTAGATTGTCATAGACCCCTAGGGGTCGATATAGACCACTTTGGGAATCACTGTCCTATAAGAAAATCTTCAACATATTTCGCTGCAAATTGAAAGAGCTACTAATGGAAAAAGCATATTGCAAAGCAAAGTAAAATCAAATCAAATTAATAAAACAAAAAAAATATATAAATTGTAAAATCACGAGGAAAAATAGTAGCGAAATTCAATTATTATATAGGAATTTATTAAAATTTTTATGTAAGTTGATGTAATGACTGTATGACATGGTGATTTTTATGTAATGTATATTATTTTGCATGCCCATGTTGCTAAATACAGAATAATTTAATATATTATATTATAAAACAACTCTGTTTTATAATATCTTAATTTAATTGTTTGTCCGCGATGGACTCCTAAACTACTTAATCGATTTTAATCAAATTTGCACACCGTGTGTATTTTAGTGCAGCTTGAGAGATAAGATATATTTTTTTGCCCATGAGTGCCTCACAATTTTTTTGAAAATAATTTAAGGATTTTGAATATGACATGACAAAGGGTTGTCGAAAGGAACAGAACAACGTCTGCCTGGCAAGCTAGTAATATTATATATTAGGTTATTCGCAAATAAAGATTGATTGAATCTAAGTTTTATTACACAGGCGTGGTGCGTCCGAAGCCCTATTTGTTAGCTGTTTATCCCGACGAACAGTACATGATGGACATTATAAATAAGACGGTGAAGCATTTCAACGTGAACCGCCCTGGCCCTCTGAACTTTCTCAAGCGCTATCAAGAATATTACCATATACTGGATGGCACCGCGCATCAGGAGCTTCTGCAGTTCTTTGCGCAAGAGCCGCCACCATATCTTAAGGCAAGATGTTTTCTCATTTTTGCTGTTGATATGGGAAAATATTGAGTTCAGGTTTCTGATCGTTATCTACATCACAAGTCTACCGTAAAACATAAGCTCTTCTAATGAAACTCTTCTTAATTTTTACGTGGTGTAACACGAATAGGTCGGCTCGACCGGGGAAAAATCACGCTCTCACAGAATACCAGTGTAATATAGCAGCTTAATGCTGCTGTGTTTCGTATGGTGAGTGAAGAACCGGAGACCTTTTTACTGGAAACGAGGCATTCTATCTTAATCTTCAAGCGTGATAACGCATCTGCATTCGGATTCATAATCTAGATTAAATGTAGATGTCTATGGCACCACAAAATCCACTTACCATCAGGTGTACTGTGTGGTTGTTTGTCACCCTTTTCCCATAAAAAATATTTTATTCATGCAGTTAAGTTTTTGATATTAAATCAAGTTACACTTTTTGAGAGTGGTGACCGATAAGAAAACTATTTTTTTCTCTTATTCAATAAATGAGAAGTTAATATTGTTTAAAATATTTTTAATATCTTACAATACATGTAGGTTATTCAGGAATTTTTATCATTGAGTCAGCAGCTAGTGTACACGCACACAAACACCGTGCCGAAGTCTGCCGAGTGCCGAAGTCTGCCGAACTGAAACGACGTTAGACGATGCACGGCTTTCAACGCCACACCTCCGTGCCCGTCGGAGTGGGGAGCGTGAGGTTTTTTTTCGTTACGGAATTTCTGGATTCGGTCCCCGCGCTCAAGGCCCGCGATAGAAGCTATGCAATAACTTAAAAGTTTTATATGAGGAATAAAGCTTATGGCTAAGACATAACTATTAATTGATACATTTATTTACTGTATGGCATTATATTAAAATGATACATAACTAGATTGGACGTTACGGGTAGGCCTGGGTGTAGAATTTTTATCGATATATTTTGCCACACTGTCAAATCTCTATGATTAGTTCCGTGGATGCTCATTACTACAGTCAGCGCATAAATGGCGAAAATGGCGTTTCCAGTAAAATTACTCTCCGGCTCTCAACTTACTGGTAGAAAATAAAAAAATTATAATTTTGTAATTTATTGTTTTCAATAATATCTATAGGTACAATTAGAATTTTATAAACTTTAAATTACATTAAATAATAACGTACCACAAATCAATGACGTCATAATCAATTTGCCTCGCATATGAATTTTAGTCACGGTTTCAGTCATTTGAAAACCTGTTGTCAGCAACTTTCATTGTTGTAAACAGATATACGAAGAAAAAACCTCAATAAGTATTATCGACAAGGAACTTGTTTTATTGTTTATCAAAAAACGGTAATTTAAAGCCAAACATGTTAGTAATTACATTTAATGAAACAAATTAGTAATTACAATTAATAAGATAAGTGACAGATTTTTAAGAGCCTATATTATCAAAGCGTTTTAATTTTTTAATATAAACTGTAAATCCCCTTACTTGTGGAATGTTACCACACTTCCCTTCTGATACCACCACAACGTGTGATGGTAGGGAGCTTGCTCTATATATGCAAAAGCTTTACTGTAAACTTCCATAGCGTGGTTTAGGCTTCCATTGTTTATCAATCCATTTACGCGATTTCAGCCCTGACACAGGCGTATATATAGATTGGTACTTTACTTTTTTGCCCGACTGCCCGTGAACGAGGGTAATGTTTTTCGTGAATATATATCTATGTCTATTTCTTTAGCACGCACTGTAGTCTAAACGGTTTGACGTATTTTATAAATGCATCTGCAAATACAAAAAAGGGGAAGAATTTTTTTCAGTAAACTTTTTAAGCAGTCGCATTTTTTAAATTACTGCTACAACAATTAAGCTTGTTTACAGGATTTCTCAGCTCGCATCTATATGTACGAGAACTTGCGTGATGAGGTCTTGTTCCTCCGTCGTAATATCCCGTTAAATATGATCATGTTGGACTGTGGGCCCATCAACGACGTCATGTGGGACATTGTGAATGGCCTTCGCCAGTACATCGTCGACCACTTCGTCGCTGAGAACAGAAAATGGAATAGAGCGTAAGAAATCACCGATTTCTTAAAAATAAAAAATAGCTATTTCAAATCAAAATCAATTAAAATTTATTTTGATTTGAAATAGCCAGTAGGCACTGCAGAACAGCAATTTCATAGGTAAAGACCACAGAAATCGTAAGACAATAGAAATCGCATAGACGCGTGACCTTGTCGCCGCAATGATGTGTTGACGAACATCATTCACCATTTTGTGATTTAGTTACGCTGGGAACGTCGTACGTGAATTTATGTTATTATAATCGTGAACTGCAGTATAATAGTAAAAAAAAGTAGTAAAACTCATCAAGGACATGTAATTCAAATAATAAAGGCATAACATTTCATCGGTAAGTTGATTATTTAATAATTATATTGTTTTAACTAGTTTATTTAATAAGTTCTAGATGTAAATCGCATGGCATCGGTCGGATGAGCGACATCGGTTTTGTAAGTAATCGAGCGCTAATTCATTTCTATTGTCTTATTATTACTATTTTTGTCGTAAAGACCTATTATTGTATTCGGGTTCTGTGGCCTTAATATATTGCGGATTAAGTTATGGTTAATTTTCCGTAACTTCTTTGTTTTGTAAAACGCAAACGTTGGTTTCGACAATCTAACATTGATTTTTTTGTTTAATGTGACTATGAAAACGCTGTCATAATTTATGTGTGCATTTTGTCCACAAGGACATTTGAAGTTGATTTCAGATATATGGGTATGTAACTGTTTTCGTATATGACGAAAAACAGTAATATTCGTAAATGAAAACACAGCTACGTAGCATATTTACCTCGGCACCCGCTCGTTTCCAGCTGTAACACAGTTTTAGTTCAGAATGACCAGTCTAGTAGTTTACATAGAAGTGTTTGTGGCGCACAGCATCTGCGACGTGTACGAGGAGATGGGTGCGCGCGCGTCTGAGAGCCCGGAGACCACGGCGCAGCTGGTGGCGCTGCTGGGCTACGTGCTCGAGTGCCGCGACAGCGCGCTCTTCGAGCTGCGCGAGCGCACGCGCACCGCAGCGCAGCACGTGCTCTTCCTCATGCAGCACGCACACCTCAACTGTGAGCTTTTGTTGAATGGATTAATGAATGAACGAATGAATGTATGAAGATACAAAAACATTAAAAAAAGTTAAGGCGAGGATTTCTGATGTTAAAAGACTTTTAGTGCTCCTTACTACACTGCATGAACATTTTTCCAGAAATGCGAGCGCACTCATGCACCACCACACTCTTTTTGTATCTACTTGAATGAACAAATAAATGACAGCTACAGAAAATATTGAAAAAAAGTAATGGTGTACCTTTCCAAAGTTAAAAGACATTTAGCGCTGCACAACTGCGATGTTTTTCTTTAACTCTCTATCAGTATAGAGAACAAGAATTTCTTACAAAATGTATTCTTTATAAATACGAAATCAATCCACTTTCAAAATCAGTGCATAAAACTGTCACTAGTTTTTAAAATTATATAAACATTCAGTTTGTTAAATGATAGATAATCAGTAGTAATAAATAAAATGCTATCTTTATTATAATATCCACCTTTTCATCGATACTCCATCAGATGACTGTTGTTACAGCCACGGCTGTATGCAACTTGTCTGTATGTATTTATGTTTGTGTGGACGATTAGTTTTGTGTGGTAGTCTGAGTAAGTGTGCATAAGTGTCTCCCCGCAAGAAACCTCAGACAGTTTGGTAATGAAAAATAACGCTATGGCTACTACGCTCCTACTACTATGGCTCATGTGCTGCTCTATGGATTAAATAAAAATACTTTTATTGTACAACGCAAAATAAAAAGATACTAGAAGAATATTCCTGGAAATATTCTTAATTACCAAAACATACCGGTTTCCTCGCGATGTTTTACTTTACTTTAGAATATAATGTTCTTGTAATTAATATATGCTATGTTACACAAACGATGTCTTCAACATACATAGAACTGAGATGCAAAATAGTAGTTCAGTGCTGCTGTGTTTTGCATGGTAAGTGAAGAGAACCGGAGACTCTTTTTACTTCTATATTTTAGTCCTCAGATGTGACAACACATCTGCATTTTGATTTTAAATGGAGGATAAATATAGATGCCTATGGGCCACATTATCCACTTACCATCAAGTGGACAATGTGCTAGTTTGTCACCCTTATTCTATAAAATACCAGACATTGACGTCACACTTGAGTTAGACCTTGGATTGCATAAAAGGAAAACACGATAATATAAAATAGAAAAACGATAACGAAAAAAATTGCAAAGTAGGCTCTAATTATTTACATTTCTTCGTGACACTACAATATTCTTACGAATAAGTTCATGGAATTATTTTTAAATAATCATATCTAAGTTCTCATAAACCAGTTTTTTTAAATTCATAACGAAGTTTTGTTAAAATAAATAAAAATGTTGTTTGACGCTTACTTAGTTTGTTCCCGAGCGGCTATCTCATAATTTGCGTACTATGAAGTCATTGCATCACTTTCATTTTGACACTCCCGCAGGCGTCCGTTAGCTTCACCGACAAAGGAATAAGCCACGCCCCCAAAACTTCGATTCATTTTCAAGGTATCCTCTTAAGACAAATCTTCCCAAATGGGAGAAACAATATGCAGAAGTAGACTATTGTAGGCAGATGGAGAAGATAAATAAGAATGGTATATAATTATAAATATTATTACGGTCCCGTGGCTATTACAATTTATGACATGATATTACTTTATTTAGTCGAAGACATAAATCTAAACACACGCGTGTTCCTCTGGCCACTCGACATGGAGGAGACTATTGACTTAACACTGAAAACATTGAACACCAAGAAGAACATGGCAGAAGACAAACTGAAAAGCAGGAAGGCTATATTTGAGGAGAAGCTAAAGCGACACGAGAAAGAGTTGGAGTTGTTTAGAAGATTTGATCCCCCACTATTGAATTTGGACCTATTGAAAGAAGTTGTGGGGAAGGTGGACGAAATTTTCACTAATTTGATGGTAAGAAAATATTCAGACTATTTGATAACCTAAGCAGTTAACGTCAGAATTATAAATACCTCACGTTACGCGAAATGTGTGTTTTTGAGTCCCCAGTAACCTATAATATTGTTATTAAAATAATTGCAGTACTAATTTATTAGTCAAATTTATGGAGATGTATTCTAGTGTTGTTCTTGGCTTCAAATACCATCTGAGTAAAAAAAACTCGCTTAAATTAAATTTATCTAAAATATTAATTTGCAAGTTATGAAGCTTTTATTTGGCAACAGGGATGCTTTGTAGACAGTGGTAAGGTGTGCAGAGTATTTTATTATTTTGGAATAAACTGTTATTTATGCAACAGTTCATTTATTTATTTATTTTTATACAAAAATCTCTCACTGGTTACTTTTCTCTTCTCTCGTTACTCCCGCTGGTTAAAAAAGCTAGTACTATCGTGTTACATAGTGTTTATAAAAAATAATTCCCAGTCTTGAACGTGGCTGCCGTGACTTACAATGTCGGTGACAATAACGATATTTCGGTCATAGGAGGATAAGCGGGAGGCCGACGACATTATCAACGAGGAACAGCTCTTGGAGCAAGAGGTGTCAGCGTACTACAGCTTGCAGACCATGTTGGCTGGCATCGATCCGTTCCATAAACTCTGGCACACTGCTTACGATTTCTATGATGGCTATGAGAAATGGTGAGTGAATATTTCTTACGTTTTGATCGTTATTGTATAACATTACAGTTGCACAGATGAACGAAACTACAATGATTGTACATTTAGAAATTTGTAAGTGACAGTAGCCTAATGGCAGGGCGCGGATCGTGAAATCAAAATGTCGTGGGTTAGAATCCGCGATTCGACTACTGTCGTGAACCACTCTTACCGCAAGAATTTTAAGCTTACCAGGAGTGGTCAAAAGGAGTATTAGTAATGTTAATTAAAAGGATTATTAGTATTTATTTTAAAAAAGATCGTAAACCAATAACAATAAGCCTGTGAGTTATGCGTATTTAATTTTTATTGACTGAAAAACGATATGATTTTCCCAATATAGGTTAAACGCTGGTTCGCAAAAAAAAACCTCTGTCCTGGGAAGAACCAGCAAGAAACCCAGCGGGGCTATTTTTTTTTCAAATGATAGCTTACAATCATGTTTACAATTAGCAACACAAGACAAATTAGAAATAGATTGGTAGCGATCACCCTTCCCAGGGGTTATTATCATCCTCAATATGAAATTTCGGGCTTCTAGTTTTATCCACTACGAAGTTATTAGGGGGTCAAAATTGGCCTGAATTGCTTATGAGAAAAGTATGGTACGGCTGTGCCGCTTTTTTGCTCGACTTGGCGGGGACACTGCCGTGCCCACAGGTTAACTATTTTCGGCTCAACCCAGGACCGCATAATTAACAGTCACTCTTACGATCACTGGGCCGACGAGCCAGTCGAAACAACTGATGGGGGTGGTGTTCGGCGATGCTACTCTAGATGGAGTAACATGCAGGTCTACTACCTGGCATGGATGCAGATGGCTCAGGGCCGTACTTTATGGTAATCTACGGAGGAGGCCTATGTTCAGCAGTGAATTTATGTTGGGCTCAAAGAAGAATGATGTTGAATTATTAGGTATCACGGTCCGTTTCACGGCTTGGATGCGGAGCAGATATCGTCTGACGTGGAGGCGTGGTGGAAGCTGCTGTACAAGCTCGGACGTCAGCTATTCGAGTTCCCGGGCGCCAAGCGCATCGCCGACATGGTGCGGAACAAGGTCGAGAAGTTCAAGGTTCTGCTCCCGGTGCTGTGTGCTATTTGTAACAAGGTAAGTCATTGATGTTGACTTTTAAATGCTTAATGTATTTGCATAATATGTCATAACATGTCATTTAATAGCACATTTTCATTGTTTTTTCGTCATATAATATAAATAAATAGTTTTTGATTTAAGTATTAGTGCTTTAAGAGGTGATAGAGGGATAGGAAATGAATCAGGAGATGAGCAGTAAAATAACAGGCATTGGGTGACAAACGGGCACACAGTCCACCTGAAGATCAGTGGATGCTGTGGCTCATAGACATCCACATTTAAGTATCCTCAATTAAGAATGTAAATGCGTTGTTGTGAATGCCTCGATTCTACTAAAAAGTGTCTCTGTTTCTCTACACTCACCATACGAAACACAGCAGCACTACGCTACTATTTTACGCTGGTATTCTGTGAGAGTGTAGCTCTACCACAGCTGGACAATGTCCCAAATTTTGAAGGATTGGCCATAATCGTCACACTTAAAAGCGGATAGTTACAAGCACTTTGTAGTTTTTACAATGCTTAGCGTTGCAAATTTGGGTACCCAAAATAATAAATGACATCTGTCGAAATACGGACGCGGGAGAAATAAACTGAAGGATTCTCTTACGTAGCTACGTATCTACAGGGAATGCGTGAACGCCACTGGGCTCAAATAAGCAGCCTGGTGGGGGCTGAAGTTGTCCACGGCCCAGAGACAACTCTCGCTGACATGGTGGAACAAGGTGTCCACGTCTTCGCGTCACAACTGGAGGAGATCGAGCAGTACGCCGCTAAGGAATATTCACTGGAACAAGCGCTAATAAAGATGAAAGAAGAATGGGTTGGAGTCACGTTCGAAGTTGTGCCTTATAGGTAAGACTTTTAGTAATGTTGGAACAAATTTATTTATACTTTAAGAACCTGGGTAAATGCTTGGATACTGATTGGTCAAATATCGAATATTGGTTACTACCCTGTGCATCCCAACTCTTTAGCTTGCGTAGGATAAAAATTTTACCTCGATATTAGTGCATGAACTTCCTTATGTTATTGTTAATATCCTGCGCAGTTAATGATTTACAGTATTCGGAATTAACTGTCTATTTGCCTATTGTCTATATGTCTATTTGCCTGCTTGTCTGCTCAGATTGACATCTGAACGAGTTTTTTACTATTGCTTCGAATGTTGCCACAGTCTGTGGCAATTCGACACTTAGATCTTTCCGGCAGAGAGATCTCTGACAAAGACTTTGACTTAATCAAGAGCCTTGATTTCGCTCAATCACTTCTTCAACACCAGCTGTAATGAAGTTGTGTAAATCTCATCGCGTACATTTGGAGATCTGTCCGTTCAGCTGGTGTTTCATTTAATACTCTTACAGTATCGCCATCTTGTTTCTAGTTTAACTAATTTCTCGTGTGTACGTGTTACAGAATGACGTAATATTGTCCTCCACACCGAATTTCGGTAGCAGCGGCTTGCCGGACGGCGGAGGAATAGGCTAGTCATCGGCCCCAGGACAGGATTATAGTGCCCAAGTGTATGCGCAAGCACAGGTGCACTCTCTATTCCCTAACTCTCATAATCCGATGGGACGGTAAACCAACACGACCGGTGTGAGATCAGGCGCAGGACCAACGGCTTTATGTGCTTTCCGATGCACGGGGGTGAGACACCAACAACTTCCTGACCCGGAGTCAGGCAATTACAAAAACAAAAACAAAATAACGTATAAAAATATTAAATGATGGTTACTCGTCGTGGGCGAATTCGTCTCATTAAATTCATTCTTAGGTCTTGACTGAAATATTTTTTGTCTCTTTCATCCTTCCACTTTCCATGGTTTCCATTCCATGGTTGTGTTGAATACTTTTCTGTCCCAAATTTCAAGATATCGTAATTTTCAGGGACACTGGTGTCGGCGTTTTAACCGGCCTGGATGACATCCAGCAGTTACTCGACGATCATATACTGAAATCGCAGACGATGCGCGGCTCGCCTTACGTGAAAGCATTCGAAAACGATATGGTGGCTTGGGAGGAGAAACTGATCAGTATGCAGGATATCCTGGACCAGTGGTTACAGGTATGGCTTTCAAGACGGAACTTCAAACAGTCCTACTATACCTACCTTTGATGTGAAACGTTTATTGGCGTACCTTGGCAGCGAAACCGATTGCTGTGACGACAAACGGCATGACTCTGTTATACGGTCATGCTCCCTCTACGCCGCTTTCGACTCCATTGTGCGTGCGTGCGCGTATACTATAACATTTCGTGGCTTTTATGTGTGAGCTGTGTATTGCGTGTGCCTTTTCTATTCCACTAAAGTAAACATGACGAGTTCACTGCTTGTATACACTTTGTATTACTGTTTAATATTATGTATTTATTTTAATATATATTTCTTAACATTAATTATAAATTCTACCATCAACTATGATGATTTACATCTTCCGGACGTCATCATCGTCCTGTGATGGCTAACATTTTTCAAAATTAAGTCCAAATAAATGGTTTTCTATTTCCACGTGGTTACTACGACTTGATAGTGTGCCTCATCGCACCTCGGAGGTGCCGTGAAAGTAGATCTTAATGTCCGAGGTTGTGATGGTAACAATTTTAAAGCAGCGTCATAAAGTGAAAGATGCGGTATTTATAATATGATGACGGCATTACCTTCCTACCATGGGAGAGACTCATGTCTAGCGGTAGACCGTTTTTTTAACTATAATTAGTAAGTTTGACTACTATCCCACCTGATGGTAAGTGGTGATGTAGCCGAATATAGTAAAGTACAATGCTTGGCGTAGCAAAAACCTACTCATTATTGGCTTAAATCATTGACAACTTTGTTAACCGGATAAAAAGACTGACGCAGCTATTGTTTGATTCGAATGCGTGGTATGTGGTCAGCAAAATGGTAGTGACAGGCCAAGCGTCTGGTTGCTCGATGGTAGAGGGGTTAGGAAGAAATTTAATCATGTTTCTTTTATAGATTAAGGTTGACAAACGAGCACACAGCCCTCCTGATGGTGAGTGGATGTGGTGTCCCACAGACATCTACATTTATCATTGATTAAGAATCAAAACTCAGATGCGTTGTCACCCCTGAGGACTAAGATGGAATGCCTCGTTTCCAGTAAAGAATTCCGGATCTCTACACTCACCATACGAAACAAAGCAGTATTAAGCTGCTATTTTACGCTGGTATTCTGTGAGAGCGTTGGCCTACCCCTGTCGAGCCGACACATTCGTGTTACAACCATAATATAGTTGCAGCGTAGCGCTATCGCATATAAATAAACCATATAGATTCTGCGAATACTTTTCGAAATGTATCATGAGAATACCGTGAGTCCGTTTATTTTGCATCAATGCTCGAGAATGTCAAGATCAACTTTAACCAAATTGAGGTCACTAATAAGCATCTTAGCATGATTTTTCATTTAGTTCAGTTTGGTAGGTGGAATTTTACAAAATTAGCTCATATGTGGCGACAATATTCCATATTTATGGACAAATGAAGAATGAGATGTAAAGAACATAAGATATATTCCATTGATGTTGTTTTCTTTTTATTCAGTGTCAAGCAACCTGGATGTACTTAGAGCCCATCTTCTCCTCTGAAGACATCATGCGGCAAATGCCGACTGAAGCACGGAACTTCCGCGACGTGGACAAGGAATGGCGTATTATAATGTCCGCCACGCAGAAAGACCCCTCGGTCCTTAATGCTACTGATTTTCCATCTCTGTTGAAAAAATTAAAATACAACAATACGCTTTTAGATGAAATACAGAGGGGGCTTAACGATTACTTGGAGAAAAAGAGATTGTTCTTCCCCAGGTGAGATATATTATACAAAGGATTGCTAGACAAGGCAATTCCCATTTTAAAAAAAATTTACTAATAATGATGTGATGAAGATGTACTCTCGACCGATTTTAGCCGCGAAATTAAATCAAAAAGTGTAGTTAAAGAACCACCTCGTTTACGTCGCGTCGGTCGTAAAATACGCAGACCGGCAACTGGCAGCAACTTAAAAATGCTCTTGTATGTTTCTGCGATTGTCAATCTCCTTACTAGGCATGAAGATGAGGTTTTGCCTTCTGTGGAAGAAACTGGCAGTGAATTTTTTTAAGTTAATCTTCCTTCTTCGCACAACTTCCTTGTGGGATCGTTTACCGCCGGCGATTTTTCCGGACCAACAAGACTCAGGGACCTTCAAGAAATGAGCTTAATCCTTTTTAAAAAGACTAGCGACGCACCTGTAACTTCCCTGGTGTTGTAATTATCCACGGGTAGGCACTTACCATCAGATGAGCGACATGATCGTTAGCCTTCTCTTCTATAAAAAGTAACACAACTACATTTGACGGGGGAATGAGCATTTTTGATACTGTTTCTCATGATGGTTATATCGCTATGCGTCGGAGGTCATAATCTTTCTGACATTTTCTTTTTTCGATTCTTAATATGACAACCGCAAGATAAGATCTCACAACTGTACAATTTTTTTACTCTTTCATTTTAGGTTCTTCTTTTTATCCAATGATGAGCTTCTAGAGATTCTCTCCGAGACGAAGGATCCAATGAGAGTTCAACCTCACCTTAAGAAGTGTTTCGAAGGCATTTACAATCTGGAGTTCAACGCCGCGAACGAGATCGTCGGTATGGTGTCGGCTGAGGGCGAAGTGGTCAAGTTGTCGTCAAGTATACAACCTGCTGATGCAAAGGTTACAATGCATACACAATTTTAAAATATACTTCATCATTCGAGTAATAATAATTAGGACAATAAATAAGTAAAGTTAATACTCCTGCTGGGCAAATGGTTAAACCTCTCATTTTTAGATGGATTTAGGGTAACGAGATATCTGCCGCGTTGTCCTAATCCGAATTGGCCGACTTCACATGTCTTCGAATATTTATTTTATTTTAGAGTAATGCAGGTTTTTTCACGATGTTTCCTTTCACCGCAGGGTACGAAGTAAATGAGCACTTAAAATTGCAGTTTACAATTTAGTTAGTGTCAACAGGGATCGAATATGGGTTGAGATACTGACTATTTACTACTGAAAATTTGTGACGAGTGCTAAGCCTCTAAGCTATCACGGCTTGTAATGTTAATAATTGAGAAGTTATTGTAGACTGACGTTTTTATCAGGAGCCGTCATAAATTACTTTCCTTATTCACATTAAACATGAGAAAAGCATGAGAGCCATAACGCAATGCTAAGTCATTGTACTACGAAGCTGTAAAGCTATGGAGAGGGCTTGGAGTTTTTCTGCGCGATACTCGTAGACTTCATAATGAGGATATCCGCAGTAGAACCAGAGTAACCGACATTGCCCAACGGATTAATAAGTTGAAGTAGCAATGAGCCGGCCATTTATCGCGAAGAACCGACAATCGATGCGAAATAAAAGTTTTCGAGTGGCAGTGTTGTACCGGTTAGCGAAGTGTATCGTGGAACCCATTAAAAGAAGTAACGACCCGTAAAAAATTTAAATAGTCGATGAATGCAGACGGCATGGGACCGTGTTTTGTGGTATTCTTTGGTAGAAGTAATAATAATGAGATAGTTGTGTTGTATTGTTATCTGTGTGGCAAAGCATTAAGACGTCGATGTGTCCAGGGCATGGTGGAGCGGTGGCTGCAGCAGCTGGAGCAGCAGATGGTGGTGAGCCTGCGCGACCTGGCGGCGGAGTCGCTGGCTGCGTATTGCGGTGCCGAGCGTGAGCACTGGGTGCTTGCCTGGCCCGGCCAGCTGGTGCAGTCCGGCGCCTGCCTGCACTACACCTGCGAGGTATCTCATACCCACATTTTGCCACATTACACACAACATTACACTGGTACTTTGTGTTACTATGGTTCATCGGGTGAGCCATCTCATTCGTGCTGCAGCTGTAATATAGCTACAATGTGACTCTATCACGTAAAACATTGCACCAGGACAAAGTACACAGATGTGTTGAATAAACTCTCTTTGGATACAGACTTCGACGCTGTTCCATTGCAAACTGTTGATTGATGTCTCGGGATTCGATAAACTGGTAAGTATTTCTCTCACTGTGCCTAAAACATATTTAGCCTTACTAAACTTATGTGGGTCTGCGAGACTGCTGCGCCTTACCTGAGAAGGAGGTGTGCGAAGAGTAATCTACTCTCGAGGAGGGGCTGCCACCGGGTGGCCGGCTTTGGTGGCCTCTACATTTGATCCGTCGAGCCGGATTCTTTATCACACACGGTGAAGCTTAGTAAAGTCCACATAATCGGCCTGAGATAAAAGTTCGACCTCAGTCAAATCCTAGTTGAATAATTACAGGGAAGGGTAGTCAAGGGAAGTCTCCTCTTCCACAGTCAGAAACATGAGCTGCGAGAAAGAACTGTCGGTATGATGAGACGCTACTCACTTTACCCTCCGCAGTCGATACACAATCTGTGGTAGAACAATAGACCATTCCTTCCCAGCCCCAAAGGTATCCGTGGTGTGTCTATAAATAATATCTTGGTGGAAAAGGATCCCTTCAACCTACTAAAGTAAACTTGCAACAGGGTCTTTAAAAATATAATTTTTCGCTTCCAGGCGACGGAAGCCATACAGTCATCAAGTCTACCGCAGCTGGTGGAGCGTTGCACGGAGCAGATCAACGGACTCGTGTACCTAGTTCAGGGAGACCTGGAACCAGGGAATCGCGTCACTGTTGAAGCGCTCATTGTGCTTGACGTACATGGTATTACACTATTTGATTTTTTATGGGCTTCCGATAGATGACGGTGTAACGAAGCGCGAGGTAACGTCATTAATTCGATATGGCAGGTACTGCACCAATGTGCCCGTCAAGCGTGACGATTAAAGCAAGTCCTCCCTCACGTTGTGGAGAGTACATGTCCAGCAGTAGAATTTTGCGGCTGATGAAGACAAGGAATAGGAACTTTCCATACGATAACTAAGAAGTTGAAAAGCACTAAAAACACAAACGTAACTGTTTAAATTTTGTAGTTTTTACCTCTATAATATGTTTTTAGAGCAAGAATAAATCAGATATTCTACCAATCACTTACTTTCTTTCTTTAATAGATTATGATTCAGACGATACTATATAACATTTATAAGGCAGTAGATAGGTCTTCTGGGTATAGGGTAGCGTAAGCAACATTAGACTACAAATAGAATATTCGATAATGATGAATTATTGTGGTAATAATTTACTTTATCATTAATTTTAAAAATGGACTTCAACCAACAAAGAAAGACGGAGCGATAAATTTAAAATAACGCAAAAACTAAGCCAAAACCATGCTCAAGTTATTATAAGTATATGCACGTACGCACGCACGTAAGTAACATAATATGCATCTAAACGTGTGTATATATGCGTCCACCTGTAAACTTTTATGGCCTGATAAATTAAGAAACCCATCCGCGTAGTGGCGGTATGAGAATAAAGGTGTAATAATAGTAGGAGACGGCGGATGCCCACCACAAACATGTGTCGGCGATGGGCATTAGCGTCTTTCTAAGAACAACCAAAAATAAAAAACTGCGGATGCCAAGCTGCCTGCCAAGCAACTGTGTTAAATATTCCCCCCTATGAGGCAGCCTATGGGGAAGGTCTATGTAAAGCAGTGGACTTTTGTTAGACTGTATCGCCAGAGAAACAAAGAAAGCACTGTTTCAGTATCACTAGAAATGTACAAAGAAAGATAGACGAAGCGGTCTATCTTTCTTTGTTGGTCTGAGGTATGGATAAATTAATTAGTTTAATGTATTGATTAAAATTACTTTTACGGATTTTATCGCGTTTAGTTTATTTGATTTTTAAATCGCGACATTTCGGGTGCTTTCCAATACCCATGATCACGGCGACTGAGGTTTTTTTTCATAGAATAAGGGTGACAAACGAGCACACATTCCACCTGATGGTAAGTTGATGCTGTGGCCCGTAGATATCTACATTTATCCTCGATTAAGAATCACAACGCAGATAGGTTGTCACCCCTGATAACTAAGATAGAATGCCTCGTTTCCAGTAAAAAAGTGTCTCCGGATCTCTACACTCACCATACCAAACATAGCGGTATTAAGCTGCTATTTTACGCTGGTATTCTGTGAAAGAGTGGTTCTTCCCCGGTCGAACCTACACATTCGTGCTACAACTATAATATAGCTACAGCGTGGCTCTACCACGTGTACTGACGTCCCGATGTCAGTGTTAACCCGGAGCACCTTCAGCTTCTTAATTATTATTTATGGTCCGATCTACGCAAAATGAACTCACTGTGTCCTGAAGTCTTGCAGTGATATGCTTGGGTTTAGTTTTAGTTTTTTTAATTACAGGATCCCAAGCAGGTACTAGTACCCAGCCTCCTTCTCTATCGAAATTACGATGTCTTTTAATTTCAATAGCCTCACGTATCCTTTTTAATCGATGTTCTTTCGCGAGGATTTGTTTTTGTGAGGAGGAATAAGTACCTGAAAAGAATAATTTCATATATCAGAATATTTACAAACATGTATCTGATATAGTCTTGAATATTTAGTTTTTTTTTTAATAGGATGATGGTGACAAACGAGCACACAGTTCACCTGATGGTAAGTAGTTGCTGGCACATAGACATCTACATCTATCCTCGACTATGAATCAAAATGAAGATGCGTTGTCACCTGTGAGGGCTAAAATGGAATTCCTCGTTTCCAGTAAAAGGGGTCTCTCGTAAAAAATTTGTCAATAAAAGTTTAATGGCCAAATACTCCTTGTGGTGTCACATTCACTTTGACTTAGTGATAGAGATAGCATGAGACTTAACTGCATCTTAAAAGTGAGTAGTGTTAAAGTATTTGGGCATAAATGTTTTACTAAAGAAAAATTATATAAAAAGGGTTATTATAATATCAAAGAACACATAAATGAAAATAACCCCTGCAAATGAGGTGATCGCTGGTATGCTGTTTCTATTAAAATTAATTTAAAAATTGTAAACCAAAATTTGTAAAGTGAAATATGTTTAAAAGAAAAGTCCCGCTGGGTTTCTTGCTGGTTCTTCCCAGGACAGAGGTATTTACCAAACCAGTGGTGAATAAAAAATGTCTTTTGAATAAATGTTATGTAATAATCTATATTGAATAAAACTCATTCTATTCTATTCTATTCTGGTTCTATACACTCACCATATGAAACACAGTAGCATTAAGCTGCTATTTAACTTGTATTTTTTTGACTTTCTAACAAAGATATTTGTAATTCTAATTTTTTAATTTTTAATTTGGCTATTTTAATGTTGTATTTATGTTCCTCTTCCATCATTTCTAGTTGTCTTTTTTTAAAATCTGTATTGCTTTTTACGATTGTTTGCTGTATATCTTCTCTTCTGTAAAATGAAATAGAATACTTAATGTAAGTTTTTTTTATGTACTAAGTATTATGAAGTAATAAAAGTATGTACTAGAATGGAAGTTAACCTTGTAGGCAAAAGAAATATATTTATAGTTATTTTTCAATCAATTAATATTAACTTTGCTTTTTAATATTTGAAAATATGAAACATTTTTAGTGTTTAATTAAATACTAATTTTCAAATGTTAAAAAGTATGAGATGTATTAAAGTAATTATTTCAACATACCTATTTTGCAAGCCCTTTTTCCTGTCTTTTGTTTTTGTAATGCCCCTTGTATTAGCAGTTTCATTGTTGGTTATTTTCATTTCTGTGTCCGTAGTTGGATCGTTTGATATCTCTAAAAATTAATATAAATAAAGGTTATAGTAAATTAAACATGTTTAATATTGAGAAAAATTTGTGTATTACATAATATGATTGTAACTATAATAATAATATATTTTGCTTTTCAATAAATAATCAATAATTATTATTTACCTTGCACCTCGACATTGAGTTCTGGATATTCTATGTTTATAACTACTGGTGTGTCATTTTTATTAAAACTAAGGCAAGGCTTAGGGTCAGCAAATATTTCTTTTGTAGTTGTAGCCACAGTCACTGGATTCTAAAATAAATTTTTCAAATCTGATGTAATGGTGGGGGCCATCTAGGATATAATCACAAACTCCCCGGAACGAAATGTCGGGAATTAAAAATCAAATAAATTAAACACGATAAAATCCGTATAAGTAGTTTTAATCAATATGTAGTGTTCGCGTAAATGTAAGAAATCATTAGTTTAAATTTAGTACACAATATTCCCGGTAAGTTATTTCACTACTTCAAGGAATATAATTCGTTGATCATCTTTATCTTTATTGTTCTTTAGTAACAGCGACCTCTGAAAGATAACAAGTATTTACTTAGAAAAAAAGATACTTCCACTAGCTATAGGCTCCAACGTTAAAATATTTTGTCACCCCTGAGGAATACCTTACGATCTATAATAATACTAGACCCTTCAGACCAGAACATAACGACGCGAAGTATTAATTTATTTATTGTGATATTCATATTTTCCCAGGACGATCAATCGTCGAAGAGATGGTGCAGAAGAAGGTGGCGGACGTGACGGACTTCAACTGGATATCGCAACTTCGTTACTACTGGCGCGGAGAGCGGCTGCAGTGTTGTATGATCACTACAGAAGTGCAATACGGCTTCGAGTACCTCGGCAACACCGGCCGCCTCGTCGCCACGCCACTCACCGATCGCTGCTACAGGTAACCTGCAAGTTGCTAGAGATAGATGGCGCTGCATGATCAATACCGACGCAGGACACGTTATAAGTCGTTGAGTACCTGGTTTTCTCAGTTCGTGAGCAATGGTAGCATAAAGATTCCTTTCCCGCAGGCGAATGAGGAAATAATTAATAGAATCAGGCGTTACTCTTTGGAAATACATTATATTAAATATGTTAAAAATGTATGTGCTAAGATCCGCGTAATAAAATGAAGTGATGAGTCTTACTTAGTTTGAAAAGCACTTCGCGCTCTCCCTCTCGCACGAATGGGTCGGCTCGACCAGGCAAGGACCACGCTTTCACAGAATATTAATTTAACAGCTTAATGTTGCTGTGTTTCATATGCGGAGTGTATAGAACCAGAGACCCTTTTTACTGGATATGAGGCATTCCCTCTTAATCTTCAGGGCGGCAACGCTTCTGCATTTTGATTCTTTATCAAGTACAGATGCAGATGTCTATGGGCAATAGCATCCACTTACCATCAGGTGGGCTGTGTGCTCGCTTGTGCAGGCCGGCTAGTTTTTTTTTATTGAATAAAGGTGTTTAATTTTAATAATATACTAGTTTTGCGTAAAAATATTTGTAGTTCATGGTGACTTCAAACCACGTTTAAGTCACGCTCACGCAGGACACACTACACACAACTAGCTGATTTATTGTACGGTAGGTATAACTTAAGTCACGCATAAAATTCATAATATTTTATAATTTTGAAAAAAAAAAACATTGAAACATAATAATAAATACGATACGAAGAACAATAGAACTTTAATTAGTTACATCTATTAAAATACTTTAAATTACCAACAACATTAAATCATTTGATCAACAAATTTAAAAAAAATACTTGAGATATAGTCATTTGAATTTTTTGTACATATTTAGCTTTAACTGTATTTTTAAAGAACAATTATTAAAAACACAAAATACAGAACAATAGAACTTTAATTAGTTACATCTATTAAAATACTTTAAATTACCAACAACATTAAATCATTTGATCAACAAATTTAAAAAAAAATACTTCAGATATAGTCATTTGAATTTTTTGTACATATTTAGCTTTAACTGTATTTTTAAAGAACAATTATTAAAAACACAATTACTTATAATAATAATAACGTCCTCCAGACCGAATTACGGCCACGGCGGCCTGCCTCAATGGAGACTGGCCATCGGCGCAGGACAGGATTATAGTGCCCAAGTGTATGCCCAAGCACAGGTGCACTCACTATTCCTTCACTCTCATAATCCGATGGGACGGTAACCGACACGACCGGAGAGAGATCAGGCGCAGGACCAACGGCTTTACGTGCTTTCCGAGGCACGGGGTGAGACACCGCCAACTTCCTGACTCCGGGCAACTACTGAGAATTTCTTGACGGAAAAAACTCAATAATCAATTTTTTGACCCGGGCCGGGATTCGAACCCAGGACCTTATGATCAGCAGTCGCACTACTACAACCACTAGACCAACGAGGCAGTCAATTAAAAAAAAAATTCAAACAAAAGTCAGTCAAAAATTACTATTACTGCCATTTACCGACACATGCAAATTGCTAAATAAATAAGACCGTTGTGAATACAGGTTTGATAAATCAATACATATAAGCTAACATCTAGATCATACAAAATTTACGTAAATTGAGTACCGTTGCACCTTTGGTCCCATTTAATTAAAACTTTAGATTGATTTTGTTTGTGAAGTTGTGGAAGGGGAGCCTAGTTCTAAGGGAGGTTACCACTTATTTATGTTAAAATACCTATTTTGTTTTAATTCTTGTGCTGAAACTTTTTAATAGTCTGTATTTACTAATAAAACTTCAATTAATTATTTAGTATTTTTAATAAAAGTGGATTATTGTGGCAATAATCAACTTAACGTATATAAATTTCAGAACACTAATGAGTGCTTTGAAACTTAACCTGGGAGGTGCGCCTGAAGGACCAGCCGGTACGGGAAAGACGGAGACAACGAAGGACCTGGCCAAGGCTGTGGCCAAGAAGTGCGTCGTCTTCAATTGCTCCGACGGTCTTGATTACAAAGCGCTGGGCAAATTCTTTAAGGTGAGAATTATCAGGATATTTATTGCAGTAAAAATGAGATACGAAAAATCATGTAGCATTTTTATCCATTAGGACTAGATAGGAGACTAATATATATATATATATATATATATATATATATATATATATATATATATATATATAGGTAAAGTAAAGTAAAGTTACAGCCTATATACGTCCCACTGCTGGGCTCAGGCCTCCCCTCATTTCTGAGAGGGTTTAGGGCAAGGAAGTGTCCGCCGCGCTGCCCAAATGCGTGTTGACGAACTTCACATGTCTTCTAAAATATTTTTTTTTCTTATTCCTCAGACATGCAGGTTTCCTCACGATGTTTTCCTTCACCGCCGAGCACGTGGTAAATCAGCACTTAAAATTGCAATTAACAATTTAATTGGTGCCGGCGGGGATCGAACCCGGGTTACTCGCGTTCTGTTATATTTACAGCGAGCGTTAACCACTGAGCTACCACGGCTATATATATATATATATATATATATATATATATATATATATATATATATCGGCGCAACAAAGTATAAGCGACGTATCGGCGCATTACTTAAACAATTATTATTGAGTTAAAAATCAATAGACGTTATTTCAACTTCTGAAATAACGTTATAACCTGATTTTTATAACATGTCTCTTTATTTTTATAATTAGTTGATTATTGTTACTAGATAAATAATTTAAAATGCTTTAATCAAAATAAATTGTCGCTATAACAATTTGAAGGTTCTCAAAGCGCAGGAAGTGGGGATGGCTTGCGCACACTCGCATTCGGTTTAAAAGGCGCGCGACGGCTGGGGCAGGATACGCCCTCCTTTCTGCCAAGGAGGGTCGCGTTCGTATACGGCTTAGAGATCTCTAGTCAGATCGTTAAGCCAGTTCCTAAAAGGTTGGGTTTAGTGGGTAAAAGTCACCACATAACCACGCAGCCGGCTGCGTGGTATGCTATGAGCATTCTCAACCTCCCTCCCCCGCTTTCCGGAGGGTTGCCCATATTTGCTTCGGGCGCAAAAAAAATGGGGCAGGATTCATTCTTGCTCGAGCTGTCGTGCTGTTCGGACTGTAAGTTGAATTCGTAAACTATAAATTGTGAACAATAGTGAATAATTATTAAATTGTTAATTGTGAGTATCTATTACTTGTGATTAGTAAAATCAGTTAAGAGTAAATAAGTGATTCTAATTATTAAAGAAAGCAATAATGAGTGAAACTAGAAATTTCAATAATGACGTCATCAATTATTAAAAAATACTTCTGGTGCTAATATTCCGTCATATATATAATATATATAATATGTATATATATATATATTATAATTTTATATATATATATATATATATATATATATATATATATATATATATATATAATGGTCTTTCTCACTAGGCCCTTTCCTTCTTAGTCATTTTTTATAGTCGAGTGCTTTTCGCCGCCATTGCATAAAAATCTTTATACAGGTTTATGTTCTATGACAGGGATTAGCTCAGTCTGGTGCATGGGCGTGTTTCGACGAATTCAATCGCATCGAGCTGGAAGTGTTGTCTGTCGTAGCTCAACAAATCCTATCCATACAACTTGCCATCCTACGGCGGGAGAAGCGATTCGTCTTCGAGGGCACAGAGATCTGCCTCGACCCGACCTGCTCAGTTTTCATCACGATGAATCCAGGGTAAGAAAATTTATACCATTTTAACAGTTTATAACATCTTACGTGCAACGGCCATGCTGCAGTTATATTAGTAGTATAGTTGTAGCACGAATGGATCGGCTCGACCGAGGAAGGATGACGCTCCCACAGAATACCAGCGTAAAAATAGCAGTTTCACGCTGTTGGGTTAAGTGTTGCGAGTGCAGAGAGCCGGAGACCTTTTTAACTGGAAACGAGGCATTCCATCTTATTCCTCACGAGTAACAACGCATCCGCATTTTGAGTCGTCTATGGCCCATATAATATCACTATGCAAAAATAATGGCTGTATCCATATGACCACATAATAGGAAAGAAGTTTACTTATGTAACAATAAAAATGTAATTATTGGAACGATGTACTCCTTGTCGGATGGTAAACGTTGCTGATGACGACTGGAACCAAGTATACACGATTAGAATAAAATAGAATCATATTTATTCAATATAGATTACAGTAGTTCGGAGAATATATAATATATATAGTAATAGCAATTTATCGGAAACATAATGTGTGATTAGCTAGTTCTTTAGAACTCTTTTGAACTCTATTAAAACAACTATCTATTCAATTATCATTTTTAACTCAAATATTGTTTTAAATCGTAGAAATAAATAATTGTCGGTTTGATTATTAATCCTGGTTTGAAATTACTTAAGTAACCTAATTAATTTAATAAAAAGTTATTATTTAGTGAAGTATTGACCAATCAAATCGTCGACAAATCAGAGCACACCTGAGTCGTTACTACGTTTTCCTTATTGTATGAACGCGGGAATAGACTCACTTCAGTTCCTGCTCTCGTCGGTGTAGTTCTATTTTCCTGGTAAAGCTTTGTGATTATTATTTGTGAGTTTTTATAACAAGAAGTGTAGAATATAGTTACTGTGGTATAAAATTAAGTGTATGATCTTAGATCTCTTTCATTATAATGGACACAATACACGGCAGCATGACTGAACCCTTGTCGAATGGGGACAGTGGTGCTGCCTCACAAAAAACAATCAAGGGTTATTATCAAACATGTACTCTTTAGTAACACAATATCCCTTACTAAACAATATTACTAAATAAAATGTTTAAATCTTTAGATAGATAAGGCCTGTATATTTTCTGAGATTTTGTTGAAAACGCGTATACATTGTCCCTTAAGGAATAACTGATTCAGTGCGTCACCGAACCTAGCACGCTAGGTGTCGAGTGGAGTCCAGTATAGATAATTCAGCGTCACCGAAACCAGCGCGACGGTTCAGTTTCGTTCACAGTTTAGAAAGAACATGCCTATCGAAGTTTACCCCTCAAAAATCATGCCTGTCTGTTGCGTGATTAAAGAACCAATCAACAAACACACTTTTGTATTTATAATATTAGTAGGGATCATTAAATAATTTTAACTAGCTTTGTAAAATTTAATATTTGTTTACAGTTACGCCGGTCGAACGGAACTGCCCGACAACCTTAAGGTGTTGTTTAGGACGGTGGCCATGATGGTGCCGGACTACGCAATGATCGGTGAAATCACGCTCTACTCGAACGGATTTGTGAACGCTGGGCCGTATGTACTTTATGATAAATTAAAAAATGCAACCGTACAGTTACAGTGTAAGAATATCCAGTACCCCGTAGCATGCCGCGGGTGTCGTAAGAGGCAAAAGAGGGGAAAAAACCAGGAGATGAGCAGCAGTGTCTTCCTAAACACAACTAAAAATAAAAAATAATGAATTGTAGTTGCCTGTATGACGTGGCAACTATGGCAAATCTTCTACAATCCACGTGGTAGAGCCATGCTCCAGTTATATTATGGTTGTGGCACGAATAGGTCGGTTGACCAGAGGTGGACCACGCTATCACAGAATACCAGTATAATATTAGCAGATTAGCCCCGCTGTGTTTCGTATGGTGAGTGTAGAGAAAAGGGTCATATGATGAGTGTAGAGAAAAGGGTCTCTTTTTTACTGAAAACAATCCATTCCATCTTAGTCCTCAGGTCTGACAGCGCATTTGCATTTCATTCTTATTTAGGGATATCCATATCATCTTCTCTAGACTTAACACGGTGGTCAGTCTAAACTGTGCAGGATAGGATATTATACCTGAGTACTTGCGCAAGCACAGGTGCACTCTATATCCCTCAACTCTTCTAGTCCAATGGGACCGTAATCCAACATGACCGGAGAGAGATTACGGCTTTACGTGCTTTCAAGGCACGGGGGTGAAACACCGCCAAATTCCTAGCTCCGGGTTGCTAAACCTTGGACCTGTAGTCAACAATCCAGTCACGCTTACGATTATTAAACCAATGAGGCAGTCACATTGAAAAAGCCTAATTAAATGATGTCTAAACTGACTGCGCCCAGGCTGGCCCGCAAGATTGTGCAGGCGTACAAGCTGTGTTCGGAGCAGTTGTCGTCGCAGAACCACTACGACTACGGCATGCGCGCCGTCAAGTCCGTGCTGCTCGCCTCCGGAGCCTTAAAGAAGAACTACCCGGAGAAAGATGAGGCTCAGCTTGTGCTGAGAGCCGTCATAGACGTCAACATGCCCAAGTTCCTCTCACAGGTGACCTAGAAACGAAGTATTGCAACATACCCAACGCACTGTTTTACATCGTAGAGCTACGCTGCAGTTATAATATGATTGTAGCACGAATGAGCCGGCTCGACCAGGGTAGAACCACGCTCTCACAGAATACCAGCGTAAAATAGCAACTCAATGCTGCTGTGTTTAGTATGGGTGTAGAAAACAGAAAACTCTTTTTACTGGAAAGGAAGCATTCGATCTTAGTCCTCAGGAGTGACAACGTATCTGTATTATGATTCTTAATCTAAGACAAATGTGGATGTCTATGGGCCACAGCATCCACTTAACATCAGGTGTATTGTGTGCTCGCTAGTAACTTTCAATCACTTTTCTTTATAAGCCCACTGCTGGTGCTAGACAACAGGAAAACATAATGATTTCTTATGTTTATTCGAACACTACACATTTAAATGAAACTAGTTGTTACAGATTTAATCGCGTATGTTAACTTATTTCACATTCCCGATGTTTTGACTACTTTATAGCAGCAATGGTCACGGGGGGGGGGAACTGAGGTGTTCGACGTCCCAATGTCATAGTTAAGCACGGCTATTTTCACTTTAAATTATTAATTATTTGGTCGATTTACGCAGAAAGAACTTATTTTATAATTTTATTAATTACTTATAGAAGCCATTCCTTAAAATATTGGCTGATACTAGCACACGAGAGAAGTGGGTTAGTCAGCCGATAACGTGGCACTGTTAATGTCGATCCCCGTCGCTTTTCTTTTGGGTCATTCATGTAGGAAATCATTTCTACCTAAAAGTCTGTCTGGGTAGTGGCGTGAACAGCTGTGTTCCGGTCTGAAGGGCAAGAGCAAATATAATTACAGATTAAAAGGCTTCGTTTTAGTCCTCATGGTGACAACGCATCCGTAGCCTTCTTTGTTGGAAAATAGCTGCTGGTTTCTATGGACTGCAGTAGCCATTTACCATCATGTTGGACTATGAGTTCGTTTATCACTACATTTTTATTTAAAAACTTCCCATAATATTGTCAAGGACGTGCCCCTGTTCACTGGTATCTACTCAGACCTGTTCCCGGGCGTGGAGATCCCTCAGCCAGACCGCGATGAGCTGCTCGTCTGCATCAAGAAAGAGTTGGACAAACGCAACCTGCAGCCCACAGATTGGTATCTCGAGAAAATCATACAGGTGACTAAAATATTTTGGCAATACAATAACTGATAAATGGTTTAAACCTAATGCCTAATGTATGCTCCGTGCCTAATGCATGTCTTGATGGAGTGTGCTCACAACTCTGCTTTTCGTGTATAAGTACCACATCACACTTTAAAAGACTTCGTTATATAATAATTCGCTATAATATAATTTTAGTTAAACCATATTCTGACAATATAAAATTATTAATGTACTGTGAGATAAAGGATTGGCATGACTGTACGTCGTGGTAGGAAATTGTTGTAACTGGACTATAGTCTCAGCTCAACCGGGTATAAACCACACTCTCACAGTACCAGCGTTAAGTAGCAGCATAATACTGTTGTGTTTTATATGGTGAGTGACGGGAACCGAACACACATTTCACTGGTAACTAGGTCTTCAATCATACTGTTCAGAAGTGACAATTACTGTAGATCTTTCTTCTTACTACTCAGGGGTGATATCTGACTACGCTTTCGCATTTTGATTCTTTATTGATCTTGGGTTAGGTAAGTGTATGTGTCATTTACAGTCAGGTTGACTCTGTGCTCGATTGTCACACTTACATTTTTTATAGAAGAGGGGTCAAACGATCGTACGACGCTCACCTAAAAGTAAGTAACTGTCGAAATTCACGTTTTACAAGATGTTTCCCCTGGAGCCACCCATGAACAACCGCTACACCAGGGGAAACATCTTGTAAAACTTGAATTTCGACACGATGTGCGTTCATGAAATTTGGCGCCTGGAATTAATCCGACCAAATCCTCAGAGCACTCCCAGTGTTAGATGCGATAGAAAATGCAAAGAGATGCAATATCCCTACGCAGCGCCAGTGAATCGAGCCGATTAGAAACAACTCGGTCGTCGATGATTCGAACCACACCGCGCTGAATGCGGTCAAGTGGAAGTGGCTGGCACTGGGGTACCGCGGCCCAATGATGAGAACAGTATTGATATTATGTGAGGCCGAACTTGCGCTTTGTAAAGTTGCAAGCGATGGTCCGATATGAAATACTGTCTCGCTCTGCGGAGCACACCAAGCGTTTTAGAGACCAATTTGGCCCTCTTTTCCAAGTGACCACGAAACTGCACACTATTCCATATGTCGTCGCCGAGGATTCCGAAGCTAGCTGAGGCAGAAAGGAGAGTGCGTAATTAAAATAGATGAGCCAGTCGCGGCTACTGTGGCAAATATCACCCCTATGGGGCAATCTTTGGGGAAGGGCTGTGTTCAGCAGTGGTAGACTGTGTTGAATAAATTCATTCAGAATTCAATAATAATAGGTTGCTTCAATTTGACGTAGTTTGGCGTTTAATTGATGTGGACATTTGTAGGAATTTCTTCTTTCTGTGTAAGTATATATCCTAAGGAATATGAAGCTCAGATCAGTTTTGAACGGATTGTGGATTGGATTATTTTTCGGAAGTTCAACAAGAGAGAGCATAGAGAGCATGTGTCAACATTATGCTAGGTTTATCAATAAGTTTTTGGAAACGCAATGAAACTCTAGGTTAAGTATATGTAAATTATTTGTTTTGTTATGTAAATTGTGCAAGTTGGTTAATTCAGTTTTAAAAAGTATTGATACTGGGACACGAAAAAGGTCCCTACAGCTCACATCACCTCATCGTTGCCGTTAAATTTTATACCACGCAAGTGCTTTTTTAGGTAAGTAATAAGGTGAAAATCAGATAAGGTCTTTTCCAGACCTTGATTTGGTTTTTATTTTCCGGGTTAAAAAACGGTGTACCCACGTTTCATCTACGGTTAAGAAACGAGTGCAAAAATAATCTTGATCTTCTTCAATTATTGATTAATTTTGCTTTGAAAAGTCAACAGACAGACAGACAGAGCAAGAGCTCTGTGTGTCTGTGGCGTCTGTTAACATTCGGGGCACCCAGCGCGCGGCCACCTTTTTGTATTCGAAGGTATGAGTTAAAATTAACTAAATTGTCCCAAGCTAAAACTTTAGAACCTCAGCTAAATAACGGATGGTTACACGTTGATCTACCCTAATGATTTCTTCGATTTTTTTAATTTTTACTTGCGTAGCGGACGTTGTTGACCGCCCGGAGTGTCGTCATTGCAGGCGGTTCTGCCACATTTAAATTCAGCGCACCAGTATGCCACTGTCCCCTTAGAATAAGACGGAGCATTGTAGTCCAAAATAGACTGCAGTTCTCCAAAACCACGTTTTATAGAAAAAAAATTTCAGCCACAAATATTTAATAACCGCGTGAAGTTTAAGTTTCTCCATTTTGCATTTGAATCAGATTTCCTTCATACGTAAAGTTTGAAAAAAAATGTGTAGTGTTTTTAATTTAGATTTTTCTGGCTTTGCCTACTAATTAAAGATTTGAAAAAAAATATAATTCACTGATAAGTGTCCGATTTCGAAAACTTATTCATCAACCTAGTAGTAATGATCAAAAGTCAATTTCTTAAATAGTTTTAGTGACTTTCAACTACCTTTCGCAGATCAAAAGTAACCTCAGACGTCATTACTTCCAGATCTACGAAATGATGCTAGTACGACACGGCTTCATGATTGTCGGTCCACCGATGGGCGGCAAAACCCAGGCCTACCAGACTCTGGCCGAGTCTCTACGCGCACTGCAGCTGATGAAGCCACTGCCGCGTCACAAAGAGTTCGGAGCTATCTATCGTATTATCAATCCTAAGGCTATCACAATGGGGCAACTTTACGGTTGCTTCGATCCCGCTTCGCATGAATGGTAAGAATAAAATTAAGTAAAGGTAAAATTTTAGGTAAAAGTACATTGCTGTATTATGGCAGGTAAAACGATTGCCCCCATATATACCGGAAATATTGTATGAGGCAACTAGAATTTACTGATTACGTTATATAAGGAAGTATAAGTTTCTGATGGATAATACGTATGGTGACGACGGAGTGGAAACTATGTTTATGTTTAAGATTTTTTTGAATTTATTCTTAGACCATATAATACGTAGATACCGTGACGTGCTGTAATTACATTTCAAAATATGGGCCTGATTTGATGGGGTTGTGTGCGTACCAGCTTCGTCATTAACGCGCGCTGGCTGTCTTTGTGTGTGTGGCGTAGCGATACCGGCTTCAGGTTTTTCACAATCTTGTAGGGAAAATATAAGGAAGTTGTATTTGTGGTGATTTTCGCTTTTTACTTTATTATTTCGTGCACACAACATAATTGTTAATTGATAATAGTTTATAGTGCGCGTGTGTGTGCGTGCGTGCGTGCGCGTGCCCATGCCTACGCTTACTATTGTTCTTAGGTCTGATGGAGTGCTGGCTATAGCGTTTCGCGAATACGCAATGTCGTTAACCCGCGACCGCAAGTGGATTCTGTTCGACGGTCCGGTGGATGCTGTGTGGATCGAGAACATGAACACCGTACTGGACGACAACAAAAAGCTGTGCCTCATGAGCGGGGAGATCATACAGGTTAGTGATATATATGTTTCCATAGATATGCCTTTTTAAAAAGCCGGCAATGCACCTGCAATTCATGAGCAGCGTTAGTCACTTACCACCAGGTGATTCGCATACTTGTTTGCTCTCATTCTATAAAACACATGCAGTTTTTTTCAGCAAATACAATTGCATTTGTCGGTTTTTGTGTACGATTGTTTTGTGATGGCTTTGCCGCTAGTGCCACTGCGTTTGCTTAAACACGTCGTTACACTGTTATATTCATAGCTTTTATCAGTTTTCAGAAAGTATTGTTTAATTATTTTATTCCAATAACAGATGACCAACAAGATGAATCTGATCTACGAGCCTGCGGACTTGGAATTCGCTTCCCCGGCGACGGTGTCTCGCTGTGGCATGATCTACATGGAGCCAGAACAACTGGGTGCGGTTTATAATTAACAGATACTCACTTTTCAAACTTAAATCATTTAAAGCGTATTACAACATAGCGTTTTTAAATGTGTACTTCTTTGAAGCAGCTGTGGATGTCGTATATTATGTATAGGGAGAGGGCGTAGGTTTTATTATGTGATCCTACGAATAGGCCATGCTAGGCTCTTTTCACAATTTTACATTCGTATTGGAGTAAGTACTTTTATTTGTTGGGAATGCAGTAGTTTGCCGGCATTTGTCTTCCCACCTAATTACAATTTATCTTCAAAGGAAGGGTGAATAGGCTTTTGTTAACCTAAGCCAGTGCCCTTAAATATTTTCGGCTGCATCATGAATATCCATCAGGTGGTATAGTAGATATATAATTGCATAAAATAGGTAAAAAAAATGTTTAATGACCATCCTAAAAATTTCTAATATAAACTATGCAGGTCAGGCCAAAAACATAAGTAGCACAAGTTTAGTACTGCAACAACCAATCCCTAAAATGGTGACGCAAATCCGTCACCCAACTCCGTCTGGTGGATGCTTTTTTTATAGAATAAGGGTCACAAACGAGCACATCTGATGTTAGTGGTTGCTGTGGCCAATAGACATCTACATTTATCCTCGATTACGAATCAAAATGCAGATGCGTTGCCACCCGACTCAGATGGAATGCCTCTTTTCCATTAAAAAGGGTCTCCGATTCTCTACACTCACTATACGAAACACATCAGCATTAAGCTACTATTTTACGCTGGTATTCTGTGAGAGCGTGGTCCTTCCCCGGTCGAGCCGACACATTCGTGCTACAACCATAATACAGCTGCAGCATGGCTCTACCACGTATAAAAATATTGATGTTTTTTTATTGAACATATAAACATAAACACTCACGCCTGTCACCCAGAGGGGTAGGCAGAGACTACAGACTTCCATTTGGCACGATCCTGACCCACCTCTCTCGCCTCCTTCACATCCATACACCTACGCATGCTTGCTCGTCGGTTAAGGGTACTCCTAATTTGGCCCGTTTTCAATAAATCGCCAATTTGGTCGATAAATTTTCGCCTAGGACGTCCCTTTCCGACTCTGCCATTAACTTCTGCAACATAAATTTTCTTTGTCACTCTTTCCTCATCCATTCTTTCCACATGACCAAACCACCGAAGCATTCCTTTCTTAATCCTGGTCACAACATCATCTTGCAAACCACACTCTTCTCTTATCACACAATTTTCACCCTGTTATTCAGATTCAGCCCTAACATACTCCTTAACGACCGCATTTCTACTGCATTTATTCTACTCTCGTGCTTCTTCTGCCATACCCAACTTTCACTACCATACGTTAAAGTAGGGACCAACACAGCATTGTGAATTGCCATGCGTGCCTTTTTTGACACATTTTGACTCTTCACAATAGAGTGCAGGGCTCCATTTACTCTGTTTCCTGCGTTCACTCGTCGTTCTATATCCTTATCATATCTCCCATCCCTGCTAAATACGCAACCCAAATATAAAAACTCATCTACTTGCTCGATCAACTCCCCTTCTATTCTTATTTCACATATCGTTTTACTTTCATCTCTTTCAAAAACCATAATTTTTGTCTTACTTGCGTTCACTTTCATACCCCTTTCTTTTAATAATCTGTTCATTAATGTAACCATCATTTGCAACTCAGCCGCCGACGACGCAAGAATAACTTGATCATCGGCGTACAAAAGGCATTTGATGGTTAACTCACCCATTCTTAATCCGCATTCTTCAACTTTCAAATTTTGCAAACAACTGTCCATAAATAGGTTGAACAACCACGGGGAAGCCACACAGCCCTGTCTGACACCTTTATGGATGCCAAACCAGTCCGAGTAGACCCCGTTGATCCTAACACAAGCACTAGAGTCCCTATAAAGAGATTCCAATGCCTGTATCAAGCCAGCGCTCAACCCAAATGAGTTCAGTGTTTGCCATAGCACATTCCTATCCACTCTGTCATAGGCCTTCTCCAAGTCCATGAACGCACAAAAAACCCTTTTGGTTTTTGGCCAAAAACTTCTCCGCGATCATGCGCATGGAGAAGACTTGATCTGTACATCCCATTCCCTTTCTAAATCCCGCTTGCACATCCCAAATTTTTCCATCGGTTTCTTTCATGACCCTTTCAATTAGTACCTTGGCATACAGTTTTCCCACGATGCTAAGAAGGCTGATACCGCGGTAGTTTTTACAGTCCTGCTGCGACCCTTTTCCTTTATTGAAGTAAGGGTGATAATAAGCACGCAAGCAAGTAAATGGATGCATAGGACCCGCCATAGACATTTATCCTCGATTAACAATCAAAATGCAGCAGCTTATTATCAGAACCCGCGCTTACGGACACATATGCATCCAAAATTATTTGTAACAAAATGGCAGTACTGTGTAACTTTTTCTGGCTAATAAAGAAGGAAAGAAGAAAGATTTGTATGTGTGTGTGTGTGTATGAAAGCGTTTCAAGAAGTTGAGCGTAGCGTGACAAATAATTTCAAATAACAATACTTATTAACATTAAGGTTTTTTAAACCTCTCCTAAATTTTTGAAATAAAAATACTACATATACCAAATTAAAAACTACACTTTTATGAGAATTAAATAGTTCAATTATTTCACTATTCTATTCAGTCGAATAGAGAAGTTGCATGAATTTTTTGTCACAAATTTATATATAAATGAAAGAATGTTTCAGTTTAAGTATACTTATTTAATATATAATAATTAAATATACTATGTATAAATAATTATGTAATAATAATTATTAATAAAAATTAATTATTAATAAATTACTTAATTGTTAATAAAAATAGTAAAATTTTTGAGTGAAAGAAAAAAATCCTTGTACGGTTGTGACGTCATTATATCCGTGGAGGTTGTGAGCCAATCGCAATCATGCCATACTTTTTTATTTTCTATATTCGGATCACCATGTGTCATAACAAGACATATATAACCTGTATTATTCAATGACAATTTTTTTTATTTACACAAAGTAAACATGAGTGTTTATCATTTCACCATGCGGTGGCGTTACTAAAGCGATATAATGACGTCACTGGCGTTTGAATTTACATTAAAATTACATGAAAAATCTATTATTAATTTGTTTTTTATTTAAAAAAAATATATGCAACTTCTCTATTATAATTTCTTTGATGGATTACTTTTATCTGACGATCGAACAACCAGTTTTTAAACATTACAATCACTGTGCTTTTGTATCAGGTGAACGAACGTTTCAATTTACCTAAGGTACATTATAAATTTCATCTGATTACAATTTTTTACTATGTGACTTAATTCAATTATGATAAGCTGCTGGTGAAATCAACAGGGTGGCGCGCATTCTTGGCCTCGTACAACACTCACTTGAGCAAGAAATTGATCCCGGAGCAGTTTGATTTGATACAGGAGCTAATCAACTGGCTTGTGCCGCCAATATTCGAATTCCTTACGCAACGTTGCCAACAGTTCGTGAAAGTTGGGGAGATCCATCAGTTTTATGTGAGTTGTTAGCCTCATTACTTATATAAATATTAGTTTTATGTTTATAATGTGACTGACGTAAATTCACATACGTCAGTCACTTACGTTTTATTTTTAAAACCATACTAAAACGTTATTCAAAACAACGTGTGTGATGGTTACTTTTTTCTTATAATGTTTATTATTTTCAAACTACCTTCGTACATTATTTTACATTTGTACATTTTATTTTGAATAAAATCTATATTTTGGAGAATAATATGTAACATTGGGGTAATAAGCTCGCAGTCCGTTTGATAGTAAATAGTGGCCCATTGATACACTCAACCAAAGCTTATAAAGAATACTCCCAGAACGTTGCCATTTTTCATTCCTGAAGACTGCTGCGGATCCTACGGATATTTACATCCGTAGGTATACTTATAAAATTCGGCATGTAATTTTTTTAATAAACTCATAAAGTGACGTTTTAATTTTTACAAAAATGACATGTTTATTGTTTACGATTAAATTAAACAAATACAAACTTTGGCGTATTGCTATGATTTGGTGATAAATTCGATCACATAACCTAGCCTAGCCTAAACGATCAATTTAAAATATTTGCAATAGAATCCTTGCACCGTATCGTCCATGCGTAGCGTAACTAACTTTGTACTAATTGATGCCTCGCACAAATTGTTATATAATTACGGTTATATCTTATAAATGTTGAGGTCCGCATTTGTTATAAAGCTTAAAAAGTCTGTTGTAAAAATCCCTTCTTCACAGTTACCATTCAAATAAAAATATGACAGCGGGCTTGTAAAGGCTTTACCGAGTGACACGAATAGCCTTTACTCCAAGTTATATTAGCCAAATATACAATATTATCTGGTACTGAGCTTGTCATGTTGTAGAAGCGAAAGACAATCCTCATTTCGTCCCGTGGGTGTCTTAAGAAGTGACTATGATAGACTGCTTGAATAGATGGCGGTATACCATCTTGCTTACGTTAGGTATAAAATACTCAAACTGGCGAGCGGAGTCGCGTCAATGGTACAATCTTCTTGCCAGGCGTGACGTTAAGTCAAATCCTCCCTAAATCTTTGAATACCCATGTCCAGCAGTAAAGTTTAACAGGTTGATGCAGAAGATGAAAAAAATCTTCACTATATTGTCCTCCTCTATAAAACGTGTGTTATTTGGTTGCCAGTCGTTCTCACGTTTGTTCACTTGCCTGCTGGAAGGCGAGACGCAATTCAGTACTGTGTGGTTGCTCTGCACTTTTTTGTTCGCGCTTTTGTGGGGAATCGCTGCCACTATCAATGGTAAGACACGCACACACCTACACACACACGCACACGCTCGCGCGTATGTGTATATATATATATATATATATATATATATATATATATATATATATATATATATATATATATATATAGAATAATGATAACAAACCAGCAAACAGTCCATCTAATAGTAAGTGAACGCTGTAGCCCATAGACATCTACATCTATCCTCGAATAAGAATCAAAATACAGATGCGTCGTCTTCTCTGTTAAAATGGTTATCGGTTCTTACCCACCATACGAAACACAGAAGCATGAAGCTGCTGGAGTTGCTATTTTACGCTGGTATTCTGTAAAAGCATGGTTCTTCCCCGGTCGAGCTGACCCATTCCTGCTACAACCATAATATAGCAGCATGACTATACCACAAATATATGTACCACTTGTAAAATCTATTAAATTTTATTTGGATATTTATTTTTAGAGAGTATCTCTACAGGGGTGCAATGTCTTGTGTTATATCAACCCTCTAAAGTAAACCATAAAATTTCTTATATAATTATAACCTTTATTCTAGGTGAAAGTCGTAAATTGTTCGATACATTCTTCCGTAAGTTACTAGACGGCAGCAACGCAACTTATCCCAAACCGAAGTCCTTCAAGTTGGTCAAGAACCAGCTGTTCCAGGATAAGGATACTGTGTTCGATTACGTGTACGACAAGCGGAACAACGGAACCTGGATTCCGTGGGTAGATTTGGAGAAAGAAGCACCTATACCGATGAACGCGAAGGTAGACATGTAAAGAGTTAATACGATTAGTTATATTTATTTTCTTAAAAACAAAAGAGACTTTACATCTCTAATCTCCTCACTGTGAATCCCTGTGTCGTGGGAATACCGATGTTGATTGTTAGAAACAAATTAATAACCTTGTATATAATTTAATTCCGTATTTCATAAACTAGATATTATGTGCAAAATAGACTTTCCCTAAAATAATCCATATACTTGTTTAAATTACATAACTAAAGGCAACCATATAACTTTTTTAAGTCCGAACGTAGCTTATTGTATACTTAATAATTTAGCAAAGAGTCAATATTAAATTTGCTATGTATGACGTAGCAGCACAATAATAATAACTTTGCTAAGTTTTGTGCATATGACGTAGCGACGTAGCCATAATGTACTTTGCAAATAGCAGCAGCGACATGTAGTATGTTTCTAAGGCAGGCGAAAAAACGTACATTGACCTAAACACATTTCATTATCGATTACGTATCGTTACGCGCTAAGCGTGTCTCATGGTATGGGATAGGGTAAAGGAAGCGGTCATTCAGGGATAAGATAACTGTTTCGACACGATTCGCAGTCTCGCGTTATAATTTTCGGTTATAGTTGTTGTTTTCATTTTTTTTAAGTTTGTTTTATTTGTTGTATTGTTAGATTTGTATTGTTACGTTTCGAATTAAAACAAATTAAATGAATATGATGATGCCATTGATAAAATCAATGTGGTCGGTTCTTCCACGCCTTCATCATCAGAAGATGATTTTGAAATAGATACAGAAGATGATTTTGAAATAATAGATTGTCAGATCTATTAATAGAAGTTTTTTGCATTATTCAAGGTTGACTGCTAGAGCATGCTAAAGCATTAAAAATTCGCCTTTTTGCCCGACTGCCAGGAAGTGTTTATGTTTTATACAACTACCGATCTACCTACTTATTAAACTACTTAACTAATGTTACCATAATAACGAATATTGTAATAACTCTTATGATTTATAAATAATAAATTTCATTGAATGTAATTTGATTTTTAATTCATATAAGTACATGACAATCATCATAATATAATAATAGACACAGGGCCTGCGAAGTCCTTTTCACTCGGCACTCTTATCTTTCACTTTGATTATACATGTAATGATACAAGGATAAAAAATTAAAACCTAAAAATAAGGTTGGCTACCACGATGGTATTGTCAATGTACGTTTTTCCGCCTGCCCTAGAAACACTACTTTGCTATAGTACGTTTCTAGGGTAGGCGAAAAAAGTACATTGACCTTTGACGATATCATCGGGGTAGGCAATCTTTTTGCTTAGCTTCATTTTTTATCCTTTTATCATTACATACATCACCAGAGTGAAAGATAAGGGTGCCGAGTGCGAAGTTCTTTACAGGTCCTATCTTTATTATTATATAATAAAGAAAGATTATCCTGTACCTAAATGTACCAAAAAGCAAATTAATATTAATTTAAGTTTATTATTTATAAATCATGTGTTATTAGTTAGTTAGTTAGTTAGGTAGGTAGTTTTATAAAACATAACCACTTCTTGGCAGTCGGGTAACAAGACGAACTTTTAATGCTAAGCATTCTTAAGCAGCCAACCTTGAAGCGTGCATAAAACTTCTCATAACAGATTGTCAGAGACACTTGACAGACTATTCATCTGTATCTATTTCAGAACCATTTTATGATGATGAAGACATAGAAGAGTCCGTCACATTGATTATAACCTAAAATATCGGTCTTCTTTTTCATGTCCGTTTTGGATGGATATACGTCACTAGACCACGTTTCTTTTACATATTTATAGATGTTTACAATCATTAATTTTTTAGTTTCCGAAATATGCGGCATTTTCCGCTTCTTTAGTGGTGACGTAAAGTCTTTATGAGATTTTCATGTCGATGGACCCGATTTCATACTAGTGATAATATGCAAAATGTCTCAAAACAATAACAAAAACTTTAATACAAAACTTAATAATACAACTATCACAACAAATTTAATAAAAATTAAAACAACTACTATAACCGAAAATTTTAAATCTCAAACTATCTACACGCAAGCGCATCTGAAAGCAGAATGAGGAATGAGTTCTGCTCCATCCGCTTTCTCAAATACACACGGCGTGAGACCTTTCGCAAATCGCGTCGAAACAAGTTTATTATCTCTGAATGACCGCTTCCTTTACCCTACCCAGTACCATGACTGACGCTTAGCGCATAACGATACGTAATCTATAAAGAAAGGAAGCAATAACTGTCGTTTTGTTTCGATGCTAACATAATACTTGAGATCAATGTACTTTTTTCCGCCTGCCCTAGAAACGTACTATACGTTTTGTGCATATGACGTAGGCAGCGACGTAGCCATATACTTTGCAAACGTCTCTGCTACGCATTCATCGTACGGCACTGCGATGTGATAATAACTTCTTTGCTACGTTTTGTGCATATGACGTAGCGACGTAGCCATATACTTTGCAAACATCTCTGCTACGCATTTGTCGTACGACACGGCGACATAATAATAACTTATTTGCTACGTTTTGTGCATATGACGTAGGTAGCGACGTAGCCGTATACTTTGCAAACGGTTCTTTGCTAGGCCTTGAGCGTGTGACGCAACAATGTAGCAAACAATGCTTCGACTTGTGAGTGTAAAAAAATGGAATGGCTATATTTATTACAATGAAAAAATAAAGCTCTTTAATTTTACTTAATGATGAAAACTTATGTAAAAATTAGGAAATCGCAAAAAGCCCGTGAGGCAGTGCAGAATTGATCATTCATAATATTTTCGCAATATTTTATGTTAAGATGCTGTAATAATTGTGCGCTCTTTATACTTATACCAGTTTTTCTTTTGCATTATCAGGTCAACGAACTGATAATCCTGACGAATGAGAATGCTTGCCTTCGATATTTCGTGACAAAGATGGTGAACTCCCGAATACCAATACTTTTGGTCGGTCCCACCGGCACTGGCAAATCTTCTCTTGTGTTGGACTTTCTGCTTTCATTGCCTAAGGACAAGTATATCACTAATACTATTAACTTTTCTGCCAGAACTACCGCTAATCAGGTGAGATATATTAAAAGCAAAATAAGCTAGGCTATTTAACTGAAAGGCTAATTAAGCCAGTTGGCTTAATGGCTGCGACATATATACTATTATAAAAATTAATATATTATTACGATTTGAACATATTTAGTAGCATTAGAAATAACAGTTAATATTATTCTTGTAATTATATGTGGTCCTCTACTGCTGATCGTATAAGGAAGCTTTCAAGTCGTTAAAAGAGCTATGGTAAATAGTACATTATACATACATATATATTATAATGTCGGTATCTGCGCCAACACTTGCACCACACACCTGCGCATTGCACGAGATGACGGAGTGGCCGCCGTTAAGACAGTCTTGGCGCTGGCGTGGCACGGTGCACTTGTTGTATCTCTACTACTCGAGCTACTAGCTCATCCTCGACTATTCAGATAATTAATTCGTGGAAACGAATTAATTATTATTTTCAGCTATCCGTATATATATATAGTATGTAACATAATTAACGCACACCCTCAGACACCCCAATTAGTATATTATATTATAATCATAATACATACACAGAATTTTTGGTTAAACATTTTTATGCACTAATTATTTATCAAATTAGTTATACTAATTCCGGAAGAATGTTGTGCTCACAGTACAAATCCATGAACGCAAAGACGTTCATTTTTCTTTATTTCTATTGAATGACAGAATTAGTAATAATCCAAATAAAACTGCACTCTTAAAAGTCTTATTGCCTTAAGTTACGGTCCATTTCAGTTTGTTTTCACTATACAGATTTAGTGTGACTGTAATTTGCGTAGTTTTAATTATTTTTGGGATAAAAAATTACCTATATTAAAAATGATAGGAATGGATTCAGTAAAAGATTCTGAACAAACTACTTCCAGGATGTGCGTTAATTATGTTACATGTTGTATATATATATCATATATTTAAAAATCCTGACTGTGTAGAATTTGTGGATACTATTTCGTATCACATTTTATATATTTTCTTATATTTACATTTTTATTAAATAAATGTGTCTTACTAGTGCGCGAATATGTATACCTGTGTATTACAAACCATGTATTTAGCTGCGATAATGTTACAGACTCAAGACATTATAATGTCAAAAGTAGACAGAAGACGCAAAGGTGTATTTGGGCCCTCCATGGGCAAGAAGGTATGTTATTGCATTATGTACTTATATAGATGATACAAGCGCCGTAGCATCATGAGGCCCCGAATTCGAATTTCGGGTCGTGCCAAAATTAGCTATTGAGTTTTATCTCAAGAGTAGCTCGGAGTCAAGAAGTTGACTGTGGTTCAGCCTTGTCTCGGAAGGCACGTACAGCCGTTGGTACCTGTGTTTGAGTGAGGGAATATAGAGTGTATAGAGGGAATAGTACACTATAATAATCCTATTCCGCGTAGATGGCTAGCCTCTGTTGAGACTGACCGCCGTGACCGAAATTTAGTCTGGAAAGCATTATAACTAGATTTCACCTAAGTATTGTTATTCTTCACCCCGTAAATGTCCACTGCTGGATATGGTCTTGGTCCTGTCCCGTTCTATAAAGGGCTCTCAGCTTATTATTTATTTATATATATTTAAAATTTGTAACACTTTAAAGCTAAGGGAACATTAGGCGGACTTGATTTCATGTGGTATTCTCTGCTAAATAACCTTTGTTGTTAAAGATATATGTTGGCAGATGCAAAATATCTATAAGTTATGAATGATAGGAGGATATGTGGTCATACTTACGTAAAAACAAAAAGAATCTTAAGGAATTATTAAGAAGGCGTTCTAACTTATTTCAGTATTAACTTTATTTTGTGACTAGGAGATCTCAGTAACATACATCTGCGTAACTGATAATAGGTAAAATAAGGGAATTGATCAGCATAAGCTTGGTTTTGTAAGGAAGCAAATTTATAAGACGATAAAAAAGAACACAATATGCCACCAACAATCGTTGTTATATATTAAAAATATTAGCATAGAAGTGAGTTTAAATCATACACATACGTAGTAGAGCCACGCTGCAGCTAAATTATGGTTGTAGCACGAATTGGTTGGCTTAACCGGGGGAGGACCATGCTGTTACAAAATAACAGCGTAAAATAGCAGCTGCTGTATTTCGTATGGTGAACCGTCGTATGCTCGTAGAGTACCGGAGACCCTTATACTGAAATACTGATAATGAGGCAATACATCTTAGTCCTCAAGGGTGGCAACGCATCTTCATATTGATTCTTAATCGAGGATAGATGTGGACGTCTATGGGCCACAGCTTCCACTTATCATTAGGTGGACTATGTGCTTTTTTGTGCCCCTCATTATATAAAAAATACATTTTATAGCAATTTATTTTATGGTTATAATAGATTCATAAAGCAATTAATAATATTATACGAGTTTTAATGGAGTTTTCGCTATCAGTGGGCCGCTTAACAATCGGCGAACTCAAACGTGTAGTTGGGGTAGGAGTTTGGAGAAAATGTTACGAGAACAGCTTTTTTACCTCTATCCTAACGTCCAGTATTAAACTGTAGAATTTTGACTTTATCACAGAATAGATGGTAGTACAGGTAACTTTATGTTCAGTGCGTCTTGTTCGTCGACGACCTAAGTATGCCGCAAAAAGAGCAATGGGGTGCCCAACCACCTTTGGAGTTACTGCGGCAATGGGTTGATCATGGACACTGGTACGACCTCAAAGACAAAGCTCGCCAAGAGGTGGGGGATGTGGTAAGTATACTCAAAGAATTTTTACTAAAAACCAATTTAATTAATGCTGGTATCTTATGTAAGTTGACAATTAATTACCAGCGAATTATCGGCTTTTGATTGTTAGATTCATTGCTCATCAAATTCCGCATAAATAGGCTACACAGAGGAATGTACATTATACACCCTCGTAGGGAATACCTTTTTACTGGTAACGAGGCAGTACAACTTATCAATCAGTCATCAGGGTGACAACGAATCTGCATTTCAATTTTTAAGGGAGTATAGAGGTAGATAGTAGGTAGGTAGGCATTATAGGCAGTGACGTAACTTTACAGTTGTGGTCCCTAGCAAACTCTTCGGAAGGGCTCTCCCTCAATGTAAAAAAACTTAACCAACGTGTTCAAATGGTGTGATATACTTTATTAATAGTATTTAATGCTTTCAAAAACTGCGGAGTTTTTCCCAATTTCTATCCATAACTAAATAAGTTAACTATCTTACGTTGAAGAAAGAAATATATTTCATTACATTTCAATAATCTTATTTCACATTACTGTTAAGTTTTCTGGTTTTTTAAGTTTCACTTTTGTTAAAAGCTTATGCTATAGTATGTGCTCATATAATTTATTTTAGCTGTTGGTCTCGGCAATGCTTCCGCCAGGAGGTGGCTCCAACTTGATATCCTCGCGTTTAACTCGCCACATGATGCTGATTGCACTGGACTCTTTTGAGGATAATACACTGAACAAGATATTCTGTACAATCATGGACTGGCATTTCAGTAAAGGATTCGCTGATGTACTGGTTCGTCAGAGTAAGGTTTGTTTTATCTTTCCTTTTGTAAAGGTAAGGTACACAAGCAATGTTATTAACATTATTAACATTTATACAAACCAATTATATACGTGATACAAACAGACAAAAATACTAAAGCACCGCAACTTTAATAGGTTATGATATTAAATGTATTATTCCTCTGTTTTCTCTTTAGCATTCTTTTTAGGATTCAATCTATATCTACCACTGCCATTTTTCTGTCTTGTTTTTCTTTTATAAATTGATTAATTTATTTTGATTTAAAACAATTATTTCAGAATCTAAAAACCTTCTAAAATAATTTAAACAGCCCAGTTATATCGCCGTTATTACTCAACCAGCAAACAAATGAAACCAACATAGAAATAAAATAGAAACATTAGCATTAGAAGGATTTTAATTTAGTTTTGGAGGAGAAAACATGAAAAAATAACGATTTCGTTAATTTTTCGTAGATTATACAATCACCCTGAGCTATAGTTGTTTTGGCTGGGATATTCGGACACAGCGCGATAGCAATAATAGGTCGTGAAAAACCTATTCTTCAAATTTCTTGCAACCCGGATATAGTTTTAAGAAGCAAATTATATTATTTATTTATTGTTACGCGTATTTGTTTTTATTATGATTCGTCATAAATTCTTGTACAATAAAATTTATTCAAAATCGCTACGAACAGGCGGTCGTGTCTGCTACAATGGAGGTGTACAAAGCGGTGACGGTGCAGTTCCTACCGACGCCGAGCAAGTGCCACTACTTGTTCAACCTGCGGGACTTCGCACGCGTCATGCGCGGCGTACTGCTCGTTCCTCACACGCACATGAAGGAACTGAGCAAACTTGTGCTGCTCTGGATACACGAGACTTATCGCGTGTTCTATGACCGCTTGGCGGACGATACTGATAGGTATGTCAATTGGTTATCTGTATGATCAGTATCGGTTGTGGGGAGGGGGGGATTTGGACGTCAAATTACTTCCTTAAACCCTTCCCCTCTCCGAGATCTATGAATTTCAAGTTACAATATTTCCCTTTGTTTTTATTTCCTCTTGTAATAATAATTCTCATTCATGTAATTCTTCTGTCCAGAGCTCGCTTATTTGAAATAGTTTATAAGGCGGTGTATTCAAATTACCGAGTCCACATGGACCAAGTACTAACGGAGCTCGGCTACGTGCCTGAGGGCGAGAAGTGTTCCGATCGGCATGTTAACAATATTTTCTTCGGCAACTACATGGAGCCAGACGCCGATCCTAAGATTTACGACCAGGTAAGTACGATCAATTACCAAAAATATTTAAAAATAAAAATATGGGGTCAACTGAAATTTCCTAGACGGAATTCAATAATTGTTTTAGTGCTTATACGTGGCAATGCTGCAGCTATATTATTGCAGCACAAATGGGTCGGCTCGCTCGGGAAAGGACCACTCTCACAGAATACCAGTGTGAAATCGAAGCATAACGCTACTGTTTCATATGGTTTTGTAGAGAATTATAAACTATTTTTTTATAGGATAGGATGACAAACGAGCACACAGTCCACCTGATGGTAAGTGGTTGCTGTGGTCCATGGAAATCTACATTTCTATACTCGATTACGATCAAAATGGATAAAAAGGGTATCCGGTTCTCTACACTCACCATACGAAACACAGCAGCATTAAGCTACGATTTGACGCTGGTATTCTGTGAGAGCGTGGTCCTTCCCCGGTCGAGCCGACCCATTCGTGCTACAACTATACTACTAATATTACTGCAGCATGGCTCTACCACGTAAAACTAGATACACTTATTCCATCTTGGTCCTCAGGGTGACAACGCATCTTCATTTTGATTCTTAATGAAGGAATAGATGAAGATGTTTATGATGCATGAGATCCACTTACCGTAAGGTGAACTGCGGGCTCATTTGTCACCCTTATGCTGTATAAAAAAAATTCATCGTTAAAACATTACATTGATTTATTTAAAGTCAACCAAAACTCATTCCTGTAGGTAATGGACTTAGATGACATGGCGGTTAAGATGGAATACTATCTGGAGGAGTACAACGTTGTATCATCATCACCGATGTCGTTGGTGATGTTCCGCTATGCATTAGATCACATCTCCAGGTGCACCAGGGTTTTGTTACAGGATAATGGTGAGATATTATTTTTAACTACGCATGGCCATTGGACAGAATCAGCTAAAGCCTTAGAGGGTTGAGGGTAGGCAATTTGGAGCCTCAAGAAAGAGTCCAAAAATATATACACTGTATGTATTTCTCTATAGAGTATATGTGATGAATATAAATAATACTTATTGAAAGTCATCCTTATGTTGACTTTCTTTAACGGATTTACTTTTTCTGAAAAAATAACAGTTTACAATCATTTATGTTACACAACTAACAACACAATATAAAATAGAAATGGCTTGGTAGCGATCACCTCAATGCCGGGGGTTATTATCATCCATAAATTGCTTAATATTATACTAATCCTTTTTAATTTATTTTTTAATAAGCTGAAGTGGTAATCGGCTCGACGATATATAGAGACGTGCAGAGAGTCGATGAATGAGTGTCTACTATCCTTTTGCTTATTAAAGTCCACGGCTGAATATATTGCCTTATGCGGGGATTTTGGCTTATTTACTTACAATAAAAACTCCATAATTTTAACCTTCACTTGTTGTAGTTACAATATATTTAATAGGAAGACATAACTTTTATCGCTACGAAGAGAGTAAAGAAGAAAAGTGTAATTTTACAATATTTGTAGGTTTTTTTAAAGAATAAGGGGAACAAACGAGCACACAGACCACCTGATGGTAAGTGAAAGCGATGTGACCAAGATGACTAAGGTGGATAGCCTCGTTCCCAATAAAATGAGTCCCCGGTTCTCTACATTCACCATACGAAACACAGCAGCATTAAATTGCTATTTCGCGCTGGTAAGAATAACAGCTCAACCGGGGGAGGACCGCTCTCACTTCTGTGAGAGCGGTCCTCCCCCGGTCGAGCCGACCCATTCGTTTTACAATCATAGTATAGCTACAACGTGGTATTTACTACATATATTGTGTATATTTGTTTGTGTTAAGTTTCGCAGAGTAGTTATAGTTTTTAAAAGTCGTTTTCTTGTTTTTTCAAAGGTAACTTATTGCTCGTCGGCGTAGGCGGAAGTGGCAGAAGTAGCGCCGTGAAACTTGCTGCAAGCATTTTAGAAATGAACGTTATACAGGTGTTACAGATTTTACTTTTTATTATACATTTAGTAGAGAATTTATATTTTGTATGCTCATAAATAACTCCACAATAATATCATATGTTAACTTTTAATAATACTCAAGCAATTAACATGATTTTAATGTATCTATCTGAAATTGTACACATTAATTTTACAATTAATGTTTAATACATGTATTATTTTTTAAATTTGTAACTGATTTTTCGCTATTTGGACTTAAAAATGATTCACATATTTTTCAAATTAACTCCGCTTCTATTTTTTTGCTATATTCAAATAATTTTATAGACTGCAATAGACTGCTTTTAAGTTTATAATGGTCATCATCGTGTACCTTACAAGTAAAGTGTACAGAATTAATTTTTTACAGATTGAAATTTCGCGCTTGTATGGACAAAATGAATGGCGTGATGATATTCGTAAAATGCTCATGAAGGCTGGCATCATTGGCAAGCCCCTCGTTTTTCTTTTTTCTGACAATCAGGCAATTTGTTTGATAATTACCGTTTACTTTTATATAAATTTATATTTAAATTGAAAAAAAAAACTTTTAATAAAAATAATATTCTGGTGGTCATTTGATTCACTTTCTTTATTAATATTCTCATGAAACTTTACAGAATTTTGAAATAATACGAGTATATTTCAGATAATGTATGAAGGCATGGTGGAAGACATCAATATGTTGTTGAACACTGGTGACATACCCAATCTGTACGGTATGGAAGAAAAGGTTGAAATATTGGACAAGATGCAAGCGGCAGTAAGGGAAAGCGTAAGAATAACTTTTATTGCAATAAAATTTGTTACAGTATGACTATATGAATGATTGTAATAAAATTTATTATAGTTGATTTATTGAGGATAATCCTAAATTTTATTATTTAGTAAAAAGAAATTCGTTCAAAGAAAGTCAATTCACATACGATTATCGTTCTACTACAATAGATATCGATAATGTCCTCCAGACCGAATTTCGGTCACGGCCTGCCTCAACGGAGACTAGCCATCGGCGCAGGACAGGATTATAGTGCCCAAGTGTATGCGCAAGCACAGGTGCACTCTCTATTCCCTCACTCTCATAATCCGGTGGGACGGCAAACCGACACGACCGGAGAAAGACCAGGCGCAGGACTAACGGCTTTACGTGCTTTCTGAGGCACGGGGCTGAGACACCGCCAACTTCCTGACTCCGGGCAGCTACTGAGAATTTCTTGACAGAAAAACTCAATAATTGATTTTTTTGGCCCGACCCGGGATTCGAACTCATGATCAGCAGTCGCACTACTACAATCACGGCTAAACATGACTTATATGATATTATAGCCTCTGCCTACCACTCTAGGTGACAGACGCGAGTGTTTTAGTTATTTTTTTCGGTTCTGATAGTGTGTCTCATTGGGTGCGTTTGGCAGAAAAAAGCGCTAGCAAGCGCTTGTAAGGAAAATGGCGAAACTAAACAGTTTTCCGCCAGGACACGTTTGCTAACTTCAGTAGCGCTAACACAATACGCCATTTTGCTTATTTAATTTGTTTGTTTTGAAGTAGAGTTTATAAGTTGTTTTGTGCAATATTAGTTTTAAGTAATATAATGACATGAATAAACATATACATGTTATTAAAAAATCATGATTGGTAAGTTTTTAATATGAATACTTTACAAACATATATTTAAATTATGTTAGGTTCCCAGGTTAAAACTAACTTCGTGTCCTAGAGTAAAATAGCTACTTACGATTTGACGGCGCTTATCGCTTACGATCGCCATTTTGCTTACAAGCGCTTGCTAGCGCTTTTTTCTGCCAAACGCACCCATTGTGTCTAAAATAGTGTCTTTTTTCCATGGGGACGAGAAAGGTTAGCAGATTCACACGCCGCAGAGCTCCCGTCTCCGTGGCGTTACTTTTATACTGTTATCCTAATTTTGTCCTAACATCGGGCACGAGTAGGTTAGGATCAATTAATACTCTACTGCCCAGCTGATAGCTAGTGTTCGCTGTAGTGGTCTAGGTCTAAAACGACCCAGCCGAACATCTACAAACTAAAGAAAATATCTCTAATGATTTTCAGGGCAAAAAAATGGAGACAACGCCGCTGGCAATGTTCGGTTTCTATGTAGAGCGAGTAAAAGCAAATTTGCGTACAGTGTTGGCCATGTCGCCCATTGGAGACTCGTTTAGGAACCGCCTTAGGATGTTCCCCTCAGTTATCAACTGCTGCACTATTGACTGGTAAAATTTTAAAATATTTTTAATTGAGATATTAATGATTCCGGACTACTTTCATTCTTTCATTATAACAGTCTACCAAACGTTTTCTACTGAACATACTCGTAAGCCTACTCCATAGGTTCATTTATAAGGAAGAGAGCACATGCCACGCCTGGCAGGTTAAAATATTTGTGAGGCCACCGAGCAATGAAAGCTAAATACACACTGGTTTATTTTAGTTTATTGGTCATGTTGTAACTTTATACTACGCGTCGGTAGGTAGCGAAATAAATTAGATTTATAGTGTCATAGAATAATAGATTTATTAAATTCAGAATAACAATGCCGGACTGCCACGGCTAAGTTGGAGTAACAGGTCCACGTCTCTCAGCGTACAGCGCTATACATCTATAAATATTATTTTTTAATATAACTGTATATACAACTACAAGCGGTTTAATCGAGGATAAATATCTATTTGCCACAGCAATCACTTACCATCAGGACTGTGTGCTTGTTAGTCACTCTTATTCTATAACAAAAACATACTTTTCAAGGTTTACCGCTTGGCCTTCAGAGGCTTTGGAACGTGTCGCTTATATGTTCATTAACAAGATGGATGACGTTAATGAAGAACTTCGTGAAGCATGCGTGGAAATGTGTCAGCTGTTCCACACCAGCGTCGTGCGACTCAGCGATAGGCGAGTACTAATAAAAAAAACATTTTGCTTTTATAAAATTAAATAATGAGTGCTGGATCTACCTACGTGAACAACCTATAAGTTTTTTATAACATATCCATCAATTTATTACAGCTTAAAAATTCCACTGCTAAACCTATAATCATCATCATCATTACAGCCCTTCACAAGTCCACTGCTGAACATAGGCCTATATTTATTACCTCTACCAAGATTGCCTCATATGAAGTATTTTAACGTAAGTTGCCAAGCTTGGCAAACGGCATGGAGACTGTAGTTTTTTAAACATTTTGATAGTAGATTGGAAAGCGATAGGAAGATGCGAATGCACCTCTTCTGTTTTATTTCCCTCTGCGGTCTCTCACAACCACGTATGCAAATAACATTATAAAGACAGATTTTTATTTTTATGATATCAGTGACTGTACTGTACACCTTATTAAAACATAATATAAGCAGACATAAAACCCAAATGGTGTAAGTTTATCAAAAGCTTGCAAGGCATTTTTATATATTACTAGCTGTCTGCCCCGACTTCGCACGTGTGATTTCTGGATCTCCACAACAGCGCCACCTACCGTTTCCAATTGTTACACACAAAAAATTACATCAGAATCGGTCCAGCCATATTCGAGTTTTACCGAGACTAACGGACAGCAATTTTGTTATGGGATAGGGTTTTTAGGGACAAACGAGCACACAGTCCACCTGATGGTAAGTGGTTACTGTGGCCCATAGACATCTACATCTATCCTCGATTACGAATCAAAATGCATATGCGTTGTCACCCGTGAGGACTAAGATGGAATCCTCGTTTCCATTAAAAAGGGTCCCCGGTTCTCTACACTCGCCATACGAAAGACAGCAGCATTAAGCTACTATTTCATGGTATTTTGTGAGAGCATTGTCATTTCCCGGTTGAGCCGACCCATTCGAGCTACAACTATGCTACTAATATAACTGCAGCATGGATCTACCACGTAAAAATTGATTTTTATATAGAGGATTTCAGGTTAAGTCAACCTAGATCATTTTGGTGGTTGTAGTTTCCATCATTACCGACTGATTCGACTATGAAACACCTTACTCCAAACTTAAGGGATTTCAAGATGTTGGATATTTAAGATTTTTATAAAAATTGGCATTTTTTGTCAATTATACAAATTTTTTTGTAATTTGTGCATCTTGTTTTATTTTTTTATAATTTTTGTGTAGTAGATAAGTTGCTATTTTATTTTTATCACCAATATTCAATATTTAGGTTATTAAATAATCTGGATCATAATAGATATTTGATAGTTGAAAAAAGAAATGAATTAAAATGTCTTGTTGAACACCCAGCACCGTTATTTTTTCTACTACCTGTGAGAATTTTATCCCAAATTTTTCTAGGAATGCTGATAAACCCTAAACTGTTTGTTATACCTTGTTGGATAACTGAAGAAACGTAGATATTTTAAGTAGATCTGCAACATACCTACAATAGATTTTTTTTTAAATCTTCCTCAAAGAAAAAAATACATTGTACAAATGCAGCTCTTTTTGCAACTATCAATCGTCTACTATGACTCAGATTATTTATATATACACAAAAATTATAAAAATATAAAACAAGATGCACAAATTACAAAAAATAGTGCAATAGACAAAAATGGCAACTTTTATAAAATAAAACTTAAATATCCAATATCTTGAAAATGGTTAAGTTTACAGTTAAGTATGGTGTTTCATTGTCGAATCAGTCGGCAATGATAGAATCTACAACCCCCTGAAGGATGTAGGTGCACTTAACCTGTAACCTGTAATACTGGGTGACTTTTTACCGTCTGGAAAATAATACGGTGTTTTGTGTAAGTGAAATAGTAGCTATCCTCAAAAGTATTGGTAAAATATAACTTATAGGCAAAATTTCCGATTATCCCAAAAAATACATAAAAATGGGTAACATTATTTTAAACAGCGTTGCGTAGGCTACAATTGCCAGTGAATGAAATTAGTAAGCGCGAGCACATCGTCGTTATCTAGATACCAGGTGGCCGAGTGCGGGCGGTCAACACATCGTTGTAGCCAACATTTATAATCGCGTATTCAAAAAGACCTAGCTACAATACTTACCTTCGTAATGATTGCAGCTAAGTGTTTTTTGATACGGCGTGGCACCGTTTATGAATGTAGATTACTGACGTTCAGCCGGAATGACGTTACGATGCTTTGACTGAAACGAAAGACGATGTCTAGCCTGATTATAGAACAACTAGTAAGGTGTACTTTCTTTACGACAAAATTTCTAGCCACAATGCAAAAACGCTATTGAATGTTGCGATATTAAAGACAACCTTCATTTGTTCGTTTTGTAATGTTTGACACTTAAAATTTAGCATTATCAGCTGTATTGTAGAACGCAAAAAGCAGATACATAACATGATGTGCATTACGACTAAGCATTTATTATTACCTAATATTTCTTATTTGGCTGCGATAAACATTCGTGCCAACTGTAAGCCTAATTAGTTTAATGTACGACTGATTAATATTATTCTATATATCCTAGAATTATTATACCTCTAAATCTAATATAAAGATGCTGTATTGATTGTAATAAGTAGCAACAGGTATGCAGATGTTAAAGTGTAAACAGTTTTGATTTATAATGAAATATATTACATTGTTAATCTAAATGATAATAATTAAATTTATTATTAATTATCAACTAATTGTGGATGAATAATCGTTTGTTAATAACTATTTATATTAATTTAAGATAGTGTATTGATAATCGAAGTAAATGTCATATCGGACAGTCGTTGCGATAGGCAATCATCGCGTGGCCGTTGTGCAAGAAACAGGTGAATTTTGTGATTAAAGTGCTGTGGAGATATTACTGGATTTTATTTTCTGGAACACTCCTGAGGCTATCCCAATATCTCAGAAGTGGGATCAACGAAAAGTATTACTCTTTTCGACTTACGCCTACGAGAAGAACGTAAGTACCTACATTTATTTGTATTGTACCAACAACGTAATTGTTTGATTTGAATTTTAGTAGCGTAAAAAAAAAGTATGTAAATCAAATATTACCACTATGTAATTACGACGAATTCGAATTGAGGTTATTTATCTCCTGTTTGAAGTTGTAATTATAACGAATTGCTAGTTGGCTAGAAAGTTTACCGTAAATAAGAGTATTTAACAACCAAACATACTGATTCACAATAAGATAAATAAATGTAATTATCATTTAACTATTTGGCGCTTGTGTAAGTACCCACGCTTATCGAAAGTAACGAGTACTGTTTTTTTTTTATATATAAATAGAATTTCGGTGCTTGCTGTACAAAGCAAGTAATACAAATATTTTGGAAAGCATTATTTATCGTTGCTCGCGATTGGTAAGGGTACTGGGGTCGATTGTTGCAATCGAAGAGAGTAAATGTTTTCTCTTTTTTTTCCCCTCTCTTTTTCTCCCTGTGTCTGAAATGATTGCGTATTTCGAGATGAACATTGTGTGGTGTGCTACGGTGGTAGTAGCAGTACTATGTGAGAAAGACCAAGCCTGATCAGGAGTGATTCAGTTACTATTACCGAAAAATATTAAAGAAATATAAGTACACATAGCTGCATAAACTTAATCTATGTTAATGATGTTAAAAATAATGGTTTACTAAGCTATCGTCTGTCAGTTTCAGTGCTCGACATGGAGAGAGAAAAGAGTCAAACCCGAGATTATAGGACTCTTAGTCCGGGCCCAGGAGTACCCAGGTTTGAGGGTCAGAGTCGGGAAGCGGTAGATTCGAGACGTGAGTCTAGCCACGCAACTTGGCCAAGAGTACCCATGTATGAGGGTCTAGCTAGGAGGACATGTTCGGAACAACCAGGGGTATCACGGGTGCGTGATACTGAGGTTGATAATAATTATGACAATATTGACGGAGAGCCGTCAAGGACGAAGGGTGCTTCGTCCACAAAGGGCATGTTTGGAACAACCAGGGGTGTCACGGGTGCGTGATACTGAGGTTGATAATAATTATGACAATATTGACGGAGAGCGTCAAGGACGAAGGGTGCTTCGTTCACAAAGGGTTAAGGAGAGAGTTCTTCGCACACCTTCGAGGTCAAGATGTAGCCGTTCGTCGAACGATGGATCCTATAGCCGTGAGGGTACCAGAGAGTAGAAGTACGAGTCGACGAGGTAGGAGATCGGAGGACGATAAGGATCCAAGGTCGGGTTTTAGTCGTGACAGGAGGAGGAGCCATCACCTTGAACGAGGAGATGAGGGTAAGCAACAAATGTCACCTTCTTATAAGAAACCTAGGAGTGTAGACTCCACTGAGATTATTTTAGATAAATTTTTGTCAATTTTGCAATCAGTTAAGAGTTCAGATAAGTCAAAGTTGCCTTTTAATACTAATATTGTTCCCGAGTTTGATCCTATGACCAAGGAGCAAACTATTTTGACTTGGTTGACAAAAGTGGAAGAATGTTCAGAAATTTATGGCTGGGAAGATAGAGAAATAATTCACTACGCCCTGCCAAAGTTGACAGGGGTAGCGAAGAATTGGTACCAGAGTTTGCCGACAATGATGTATACGTGGAGTGAGTGGAAAAAGAAGTTGATTGAATCTTTTCCTGTTCACGAAGACTATGCTGAACTCTTGACTGAAATGCTGGGCAAAAGAGTTAAATATGGAGAGTCGCTTGAACATTACTATTACGCCAAAATTAATTTGCTAAATAGATGTAAGATCTATGGGCGTCAGGCTGTCGATTGCTTGCTGTACGGCGTTGAAGATAGGGCTGTTAAAATAGGTGCGCAGGCTGCACAATTCTCTGAGCCAGAGAAAGTGCTGAAATATTTCAGAACTGTGAAAATAGGGCATGGTCGGGAAAATCCTGGTTCTAGTTTTAAAACCCGAAACGAACGTCAGGGTACAACTCTTTTATCAAAACCAGCGGGTTGGAAAATTACATGCTACAATTGCGATCAAATTGGTCATCCAAG